CAACCCCATTCAGGACAAGGCCCAGGTCCCCAGACTCGAAGCCCGACCCACCTACCAACAGGAGCTCCGTCTTGTCTGGATTGAGCTTCAGTTTATTGGCCCTCATCCAGCCCATTACCTCGGCCAGGCACCAGTTCAGTACAGCCACTACCTCACCTGGATTAGTTGAGAATGAGAGGTAGAGCTGGGTATCATCAGCGTACTGATGATTCCGCAGCCCACACCTCCTGATGACCTCTCCGAGCGGTTTCATGTAGACGTTAAACAGCAAAGGGGACAAAATGGATCCCTGCAGTACTCCATGGCATAGCTGCCATGGCGCAGAGCCATAGTCCCCCAGCACCACCTTCTGGAAATGGCCATTGAGATAGGAGCGGAACCACTGCAAAGCAGTGCCTCCAACTCCCAATCCCGCAAGCCTATCCAGAAGGATATCATGGTCGATGGTATCAAAAGCAGCTGAGAGGTCCAGGAGAACCAACAGGAATGCACTCCCCCGTCTCTCTCCCTGCACAGGTCATCATACAGGGCGACCAAGGCAGATTCAGTACTGTACCCGGGTCTGAAGCCGGACTGAAATGGGTCCAGATAATCAGTTTCATCCAAGAGTGCTTGGATTTGTCCAGTAAGTATCAGGCTGGATTTGATTTAAATCCCTATCAGCAAGACTAGATTTAAATTGTAGTTTTATACATCATTTGCACACATGCCTGCCTTATCTGTAGGTATAGGAACTTAAACTATTTCCAAATTGTGTCGCTTTTACGGTCTGTTGCCATTATAGGTTTTCTCCTCCAGGAAATAATAATATGATAAACTTCTGGCTGTAAACAAAAGATCCAAAGACTTGTGGAGCATTCTGCTCAAAAGATTTAACTTTCATTTTTACTGCTTGTCCTTCCCTCTTCACATGTAGCTTCTTGTGCACCGCTATTCTACTCCCAACAATCTTCTTCTGTTCAAACCTTAGCACTTAAGAAGTAAGTGGTTGATTCTGAGTGCACATATTTCCAAACGAACAATGGGATTAAGGTCTTTTTCTCAACTCTATATGTTTATTTTATAACATTTTTGCTTTGAAGAAGAGGCATGTGATTTTTGCAGGCACAAATTCAGAGATTTGAGAATTGTAAAACCAATTTTGAGAATTGTACACCCAGTATCTTTGATAATATTATCTAGACAGAAAAATTGCCCCAAAATCTTACAGAAACCTTTGGAAGAGCATGACATTGTGAATGGATTAATGGAATCCATTTACAAAAAATTGATCAATATACAGCCTTAAGCTACATAATTAAACATTATTTCATGATGAATTACCTTTGAAATATGATGTATCGTAAATAGAAAACTAGCTTTAGAGAGATTTTTCCTTGAAAAGCATCTAATTAAATACCCAATTTAAATTTAAAAAACTGAATTAAATTTTTAAAAATCTGATTTTTTACTTAAAACAAAACATTGATTTTTATCCACCTTGGTAACTATGTACAGTCTGACTCCAACCCCACTGCATTGGTTTCATGGGTCCAAGTGGTGGGTTTGCCAAAATGAAAAATTAGGAAGCAGTTCACTAACTGCATAAATCAGTGAAACTCTGTGGTAACTGGAGTGCATGATCAATGAATGACAGGAAACTCGCTGTCCTGTTGGTATCAGCAACTGATATGATTCCAGCTGGCACCAGCATAGGCATAGTTTGTGCAAATGGGTAAAAGTTCATCTTGCTAAGAGCTATGCAATTTGAAGGCCCCTTTGAGGTTGCAACAACCTGGTACAGGCCCTGCAGTGAAGTGATCTTAATCCGTTCAGGATGAATTGATCGATTGCTCAACTACTTCTGGTCATTTTAAAATCAAGGGAATTCAAATTAACAGTTAAGGGAATACAAACCTGAGAGTAATTTTCCAGTTTTAAAATTGGAAATGTTACTTCCATGTGTCAGAGCATCACTTCTCATTTGTTGTACACAGTGTGATGATGATAAAATACCACCAACCGCATGATCCATTGTGGTTGCTCTGTTATGATCTGTTACCACCATCCATTGTGGTAATCTTCCTGGGAAGTCAGAGGATTATGGGCATCCTATTGAGGATGGGAGGTGTTTAGAGGCAAAGATCACCATGGCTTGTGAGGAGGAGATCAAGGAGGGCAGACAACGTTAAGATACATCATAATCCAACGGAGCCTCATTGCTCTCCACCTCCTCGAACACTCCCCCTCCTCCACCCTATGCTGGGGTCCTAGGTCATTCTTCCAGTCTACAGCTGGAAAGAAGGGCACAGGAAGCTGCTCCAGTGTCAGAATCCCAGCTCCAAGCTCAGAACATGTTTCTAAGATTGGAGCTGGAACTCCAAATTTTCCTATGGCTATCTAGTTTCTCTCTAGAAGTCTTAGAATTGTGTCCCAAATGAATCAGGTGGAGGTGGTGGTGGTGATTTTCTGAGCTCTTCACAAAAAATGACAAATGATAGAATGTAAGATAAGAACACATAGTGTTCGTTTTGCATTATGTAGTTTTGACTGTTTTGGGGGTATGATACTTACCCTTATTTTTGTCCATGAGCAAATTGCCCAGTAATCTTACAGAAACCTCTGGAAGAGCATGACATTGTTGTCAGAGAACAAGTAAGGTATAGTGGTTAAGAACACAGAACTTGAACTCAGGTGATCTGGGTTCTAATCCCTGCTTGGCCATGGAGCCAATTGGATGACTTTGGGCCAGTTACAGACTCTCAGCCTAACCTACCACATTGGGTTGTTGTTGTGTGGATAAGATTGAGAGCAGCAGGAAGGAAATGACACAAGCTGCTTTGAGTTTGTATAAGAAGAAAAGCAAGATATAAATCTAACAAATAAATAAAATTTGCCTGTGAACAATAGAAGCCATATTCAGAAATAGAAATCAAATTGCATCTTTATAATCAAAGTTTCTCAACTGCATATGAATTAGGCATAAATAGGTATCTTCTTTCTTGAGAATTCACTTTTATTATATGAATTTAGAGTAAGATGTGTGTTTTGTTTCTGATGTGCCTTAAAAATTTGTTTCAGCAGTATTTTGTTAAGGGACATCTGGCTTTATTCATGTTTTATTAGGAACCACCTGGCTTTTGTATTGTTCAAGCACTTCAGCCCTGAGGGTTTAGTCATCAGATTTTAAAAGCATCAAATGAAAGGTCACATGCTCATAGGTGTCATGCCATGTTACTTTCAGTTTAAATATTTGGTTTGGATTACAGCAGATGTCAAACACACCAGTGCTTTTTTCCTTTTCCAAGTTTCTTGAAAAGCAAAAGCAATCCAGCATTATTCCTAACAACATAGGATCCCTCATGGTGCCCGCTAAACCAGAGGTGTTCATCCTCTTTCATCCCAAGGCAAAGCACTCAGGTGGGGTGGAAGGCTAAAGGAGTGTGCCAGAAGTGCATAACTGCCAGCATACTTTAAGCTTAACTAGCCAGTAACTAAGTCTTAGAATTTCAACTTTTTAATTTCAACTTTTTAGATGGGCTGGAGGAAATGTGTGAAATCTGAGAAGCCCCTAAATGATCAGTGTTGCAGGGTAAGAGGGAAGAGCCAGAGGAACTCTGGAAGTCTAGAATGGGACCCCAGGCAGGCCATACTGAGATGCAGGCATGAGGTCCTGCACCCCTGCTCTTATTGTTGTTAATTATGCATCCTACTCCTTGCAGCTGGAGCTCAGTGCTGTCTGGGAAATGGTGAGGTTTCTGAGATTCACCTATTCTAGTTGGGTAGCAAGGTTGAATTCCCTGCACACTGTAGCAGGAAATCTCCCATTCTTGGCCTGATGCTCTTCCATATATCGTTTGAGCAGAGTGAGGACCACTGATGCCTGGCATCTCAGTACCTCCTCTACAGTGCATAGACGATTGGGCACAATATAAATTTTTGCTGTAGGCATGACTCAAATTTAGCTCCATGTACGATTTGCTTTTTGCTCTACTCTTGCAACACTCTACAGGTGACATCTAGTGGCTACATGCAGACATTAAAGAAGTAATTCTTCAATGTTTTATGGTTTTATAATATGTTTTACTACATTACTGTTTTATATTTTTAACCTTTGTCTTGTAAACCATAGAGCTTTGGCTAATGGGAAGTGAAGAAATGCAATAAAAATTTCGTAAAGGCAACACAGACAAGGCATAAGGTTAGGGTTGGATTAGGAAAAGACTGTTCTAGGCTACCAAAGTAATGGGAAGCACGGAAAATAGCCTGGGAGTGAGCCAGGGATGCATCTTTGCACTCATTGTTACAAGCTGGATATGTAGACCATGCAATTCATGCTGGTACCTGGCAGTCTACAGCCTGGTAGGTGTCAGGTTAGGCCATTCCATCAGTTTGTTTATTATGAATGGTATTGGAGGTCCTTGTAAAGGCCATAAAGTGGTATAGAAAGCTTTTATGAAATAAATATTTCTGTATCATACAATAAACACAGCTCTCTTGGCATGTCACAGAATGGAAGTAAAATCATAAAATACCGTATCATTCTGGACTATGGGGATGGGAGCATATTTTGAGCCACTTAGAAATTCCACTTCTAGCCATCAGTATATTACCCTGGAATAACTTAACCTTTAGATAATTTAAGAATAAAACCAGTCAGAGTGTCTTATTTGAAGGACTTGCTTATCTCTTTAGTTTGGTTCATTGGCAGGGCTACTTTCCAGCTTAATTAAGCCTGTCTGCAATCCTACAAAGCTGAGTCCAATCTTACACCACACAAAATCTGTAGAATGTTATTATCTGTTATAGGTTGGAATTTTTACAGCCTGGTCTCTCTGCTTCATTAGTCCAGAGAGTAGGCAGATGTTATGGGAAACAGTTGAGCATTTTCCATTGGCAACATGTAAAAAGATAATATCCTCAGGCAAATGAAAATATGATGCATCAGGCTTCCAGCTGTCCTGTTCACTTGCAAGGCATCCTTCCAAGAATGGAATTTTAAAAAACAAAAGCCTGCAGCGTATTTAAGATGTAATATTTATTAACATCTAACTGAATCAGTTACAGGGATAACACACATTGTATTTCACACAGTAAGATGAGCCAGAATGGTTACAGTTATTACTTCATATAAAAACAAAGAACAAAACAAAGAAAACTGGAAGACAATAATATTGCAACTAGGAAAACAGTCATATAACGTGACAGTCATGTGAGGCTAACCATAATGGTAAGAGACAGTCCATTAGCAAGTTCAAGTCAATATCTTCTCAGTTAAAAATAAAAAAAAACATTGTGTGCCATGACGTTTTTATTTGAACAAATATTTGTAGCAGATATGTAATAGTCTCTTCTGAAATACAACTTGAAAGACTAAAATGTGAGAGGATCAGCCTGATTCTGAAAGGGTAACAACTAGAGGTAATGCCTGCTGAATCACTGGGAGGTTAGGGCTTCTCAAAAGTACATGAGAACAGCTTTCCCAACCAAGTGCTTTTCAGATGTGCTGGACTACTAGCGCCATCATTCACAGCTAGTGAGACTAATGATCATGCTGAATAGGGACAATCAGAGCTGCCATCTCGCACAGCTGGAGGGCACCAGGGCAGGGATGCTTCTTCACATCAATAGCAAGGGGGGTGTGTGTGTGTAAAGACTAAAATCTCTCAAAAGAAAATTTAATACTTTGCTAAAGATATAGCAATTACATAGAGAAAGGGAAAACTAGATTTATTGCTCTTGGAATTAGGAGGTGAAAGATACTGAAAAATCTGAGCAAAAAACTTAATACGATAGTGAAGAAGGTGATCATTGACAGCCTGAAAGCTAGTGTACATTTAGCTTTCATGATCTTAAGAAAGTCTTACAAAAGCAGGGACATGCTTCATTCCATCACCTTCTAAGATGTTTTGTTTTTGCACTCTTACAGAAAATACAAGTACAATAACTCCAAAAAATGTTATCCAGATGGAAGCAACTTTCTTTGTTCAGTGTTTTTTCTGTGTAACACAGGCTAACAGTGAACTACAGAAAAGAGTACTGGACATAGAAAAAGCAGGGGAGTTACTCAGCCAATATATTAAGGCTGTACCAGCCCCAAACTGGATAGGTTCTGTAACCTCTTGTATGATTTATAATCTGAATATATAAATAGGTCATAATTATGATGGGGATATGATATGCACAGGCAGTATGTGCATATCATAGATGGAGACATGATTGTGTGTCACCCATCATAGCATGGTTGATAAGTACATCCAGACAAATTTAGCAATTTTCCATGTCTTGAAGCAATTTAACAGCAGTTTTAGTATTGGAAACGTATTCCAAGTTGTCCTGCTCGACAATTCTTTTACACCAGTATTTATGCTAATGCTCTGTCAGTGTTGTACAGACAGTAGTACCTGAATTATTCATTCCAGAAATAATAGGACAGAGAGACAAAATATTAGATTATCAAACAGCAGAAAGCAATTTCTAGACAGGGTGATGATTTTAGGTCATTTCACCAGCAAAAACAGCTTGCTTTGAGTACAGACACAACAAAGTTAATTGAAGTAGTGCCAAACAAGCCCCATATCCCCAAGCATTCAGAAGTGTTTGAAAAGGAAACATTCTGTGTCAAGGAAAATTATCAGAAAACGTGCAAAATGGGCACATTTGAATGATCCAAAAGGTGGCAAAAAAGGAAAGACAGTGCAGAATTGGGATAGGAAAGGGCATTGTAGGGCTTCTTCTAACCCACCTCAGGCCCCATGGAGCCTAAACTCTCAGGAGATACTCCCCACTCAACGTTTCAGCACATCCATGAGGACATTTACGAGTATTTTAATACAAGAAAATTTAGCTGAGGATTTCTTGTGCTTCATTCCAGATGCATAGCACAGCAATAATTGAGAATACTAATTTCAGAGGAGCAAGCTCGCTTGCTTGCTCTGTCAAGGGGATGGCTTAAGTAGTCAGAAAAGATATTTGCTCATGAACAGCCAGAGGGCAAGAACATGAGCTCTAATCGTCAGAGCAGATGACATGAAACTAGTTAAGTATCATACTGACTACAGTGCTGAAGCTGAGGGAATGTTAGAACCCTGAGCTGTGTCCAGCTTTCAATTGGTTAAAGCTACACATAGTTAAACATTTGGTATCCCCTGTATCTCAAAATAATTCTTTGTCCCATATGAACTTCACTGAGGGGCTTATGATCTACTGGTGAAGCTCGGTGCCAAGTTCTTCCTTAAGGAAGATTAAGCTAGCATCCACATTCCGCAAATGTGGAATGCTGCCATCCCAGAAGACCATCTTCGTCCCTGCTATCTTCTTTCTGCTGTCTTTTAGTACTTACTAGGAAGTTTTTTACTGTTGCTTTTATGCAGTTTGAAATTTGAACTGAAATGCTTTGGTTGTAGGGATATACAAATATGATTAAATCTGTTCTGTGTTTTGTTGATTGTCAGACATCTTTTGGCCCATTGGCCACTCATTGACAAAACTGGATGCCCACACTAGAATTTTGTTTTTGAAATAACTAATTCACACCAGCACATTTTAAGAAGTGCACACTTGTGCTAATGCCCATTAAATACTGTGAATTAGTATAACTCCCCTACTCCCAAAGAGAAGAATCAGTCCATAAATCCACGGAATCTGCATGACTTGGAAAATCTCGGTTAAAGAATCTGCAGGTTGGAGTCACAGAAATCCAAACTCACTTGAACCTTTGCAGATTTCTGCATGAATCCTGCCTGTTTGTTGGGCTTTTGACTGCATTTGCAATTTGTTGTAAACAATGTTGAGAGAAACTTTTTTGTTTTAATCCATTTAAGCCATCCCACAAATGCTATCCATAGTACTATACTAACTTGTTAATTTCTTTCAGATTCAGAGAGCTGGAATATCTTTACAGATTATATATTCAAACTTTTAAATGAAATGCAGTTAGATGCCTCAGTCCAGTGGTCTATTGCAGGGAAGAGTCAGTCTCTCTTGCTTGCTCTTGCGTGCACATGTGTGCGCATATTAACTCCAGCATGCACCTTCTCCCCTACCAGAACAGTTTCCACAATCATTATATTTTCAGATTAGGGTCTTTGTGTACATTAGTGCATTGTTAATGTGATGCTGACTTGATGCTTAGAATCTGTACACTAAAGCATTTTTGTCACAGTAAAAGTGTTGGAACAAAAAGTCCAGTTTCTTTAATTTTAAATGAACTGAAATGCATACTTTGTCATAAGGTTTCTGCTTTCAAGATCAAAGACCTTCTGAACTCTGGAAAAGAACAGAGCATGGTACTTTCATCACAGGTATTGGAGAAGATAGTGTACAAATACAAGGTTAAAAAGAAAACTTAATGTGCATGTAGCTGTAGAAGAACTGCTCCTAGATAAGAGAGAACAAGAAGGAATCAGACCAAGGATAGGTGTTTTGAGCCACTTCTTGAAAGCGTTATCCTTATATAAGATATGAAAGGTGGGAGGAAAATTCCTATGAGAAAGTTGTCAGAGGATGAGGTAAACTATAAAAGCATTGTTCTAATTAAGTATTGTGCAGTTCCAAGGTGTTCTGCCTTACATGTGTAATGATTTGTTGATTACCTTGCTGTCCCTCTAGTCTTAATAAATATTACTGATTTGCTTTTCTTTACTCCATTTGGCCCATTTCATGCAGGATCTGACACAGACCTAGTACATGAATTGTTGTTCCTCTTGTACCAATGCTGTGATTCTCTGTGGAATAGTTCTAATCAGCAAGGAAACTAAAAATCCTTCCAGTGTGGAATTGTGTTGTCAAATTATGAGTCAGACTTGTAAATGCCCTAAAACAGTGTCCAACATACTGCAAGTGAGAACTTGGTGCTAAGAATGACTGATTGTTAAATCTGTTTTATGTATGGTTTGAGGGTTGTCAGGTAACTTTCATTCTGTCATCTGAACATTGGCAGGATCAGAGTTTGTTACCTGAATTTCTTCTACTTGCACTGACTTGTACCAGCATTGATGCGGATGAGCACGAATCTTCCCTACAGTGTGAAAAAACAGTTCCTAACTGCAAATACTGGAAGGTTAATCTGCCTAATGTTCAGAGTTACCATGCTGGTTTCTGCTTGCTCTGGCTCTGTATGCCAATATTTCTCTTGCTATTTGGAGAATAGATCAGGCTAGAGATATTCAAGAAGATAACAAAATAGGCAACAAACCGTTCATTTCATATTATCACCCCTTAAGGGTAAAAAGGACTAAGTTACATGCGATAACAGGTTATTCAGCCTGTGATGCAGTGTATTTGGTCAACTGGTATATAATTGTTCATCACTCAGCTCCTGTTCTGTATATGAAAAGCCAAGTAAACAATGAAATTAACATGGAGACACATGCAGGGCCATATCCTGCTGTGCCAATTGGCACTATGCAAGAAGTCACTTAGGCTTGTGCAGTGTAATTGACTGACATGGTAGGAGACTGCCATTCTGACTCTATGGGGTCTTAAAATACAATAGACAAATTCTAGCAAACAAAACCTGAAGCAACAAATAGACCAGTTTTCCCTTTTTGAATCCTGGAAACTGATTTCTTCTGGAGCATCCAAATGATTAATGCATGTATTATGGTAAGCCCTGGCTCATGAACAAGCAATGTACCCTTTTTTAAAGCTGCATTAAATATTAAAAACTGCATTTGGGTTGCACACTGTATGAAGCAGCAAAAAACAAAAGAAAGTAGCATTTTCACAGATAACCACCACCAAGCATCCAATTCAGGGGAGCTTCTGAAGGACAAGGCAAAATTAAACAATCATTCTTAGCTGGGCATTAAAATGGTTTTAGGCAAGAAAGGACATATAAGCATATTAATTGTATGGTATGACACAGTTGTCCAAATATTGAAGGATTTAGGAAATAATTTTATGTGGAGTCAAATTAAATATAAATAAATCCAAAAAGAAAAACAATGTGAATGATATAAAATCATTCAGGAGGAGTAATTATAAAGGAAACTACAAAAGGTTTAGGAACTCTTTATCAGGAAAATAATAATACTGTGACGTGTGCCATATTGCTATATAGAGAATGGTCAAATAAACTTAGGATTTTGTTGAGATATTGGCAGCAACTTGTCTTGTGAATACAAGAAGGTAGGGTCAAAAAGAAAATTACAATAATTATGTGCCAAGCAGAACAATCGTAATATAATCGATCAACCATCCACTGAAGTTACCTTGCAATAGTGACACCACTGCCCTAGTGGAAGGGGAGGTATATAGCATGGAATAGGCACGTCAGAGAAATCTGCCACATTAGTTTGGTTGTCTCCGAATTTGACCTGTGGGTTCCTCAGTGGACTGGCTTTTCCCAAGTCACACAGATTCCATGCACTTATGCCCCTGCTTTTTGTAATGTTGCACAAATTTAGTAGTGCAACCTATGCAAAAAACATTTAAGCCCTGAACATGTGCATTTCACTTCATAGACTAAAGTATGAACATGCACATTTTGGGAAGACCTGTGCATTTTTCGAAGTGCATGTTTCCATAAATGCATATGAACTCATTTGTACAAAAATCATTTCCATCAGGGAGTAGATGATGGGACAAAAGAACTTGAAAATCTGCAAAACACAGAAAAACTTTAATAAATTCTGTACATTCATACCCTGAAGGCCCCAGTTATACTCATGGAAATGTCAGTGGGCATAACTCCATCATTAGTAGTGTTCTCATTAGCAATAGATAATGTTAGATTCCCAGTGGTAGATATGGGGAATGGGACAGGGCCCTGGAACTGTTCTTAAGTGGGGCTATCCTGGTATGAGAACTTTTGCCTACACCCAGGCACAGGAAGGACATTTTAAAAAGATGCTGAGGTGGGCTGACAGGGCCAAGTGGCAATCCTACCTTCTATTATTCACCTAGGCTGGTACATGTTTGCTCTTTTGCTGCCCACTTAGACTTGCTGTATCACTTAATAAAAAAGAAATGATGCAGTTGTATTCTCCAAATACTCTAATGAGGCAGCACATAACTTGTTATGCTGAAAGACAGGAATGGAATTATGCTCATGTAGGATCTTCTAAAAAATAAACTGAAACATTTGTAACTGAGGACAGGTTTTGCTGAATGTTTTACTAGAATGTCAGTGTTTAGTCCAATACTGGAAAGGAGGTGGGAGCACTGAAACTGCAAAGGAAGATTTAAACTGGAGATTATGCAAAGTTTTTATATGCTTTTCATATTTCACCACTACGTTGATGTGCACCTGTAAATAAATCAAGTATCTTTAGATACAGCTGACTGGTGAACTTTGTACTATGGTATACGTACGTTATCAATAATGTGATAATTGTATCTCAGACACCTTGAATCTAAGCACACTAGCTATGTTCTCAATGTCTCTTGCTGCACTAGCAGACACACCAATCTGGCCTGCACAAGCTCTCCAATTCACTTATTTGAAAGAACAGCCCTCTGAGCATGTGTCAGATATACTTGCATGGTGGCATAAAAGTGATTTGGAGCAGCCTTCCCATGCAGGAGCTCCAACAGGGTATTGAAATTAATGGATTTTACATCCTGATATAGCACTAGGAAGCAAGTCATGTGCTGTGTACCAAGAAGCAGATGAAATCTACAGAAGAAAGCATTCGATTCTGCAACCCAGTGACTTTCCCTCCTTGATTTGAAGGCAATAGATCTGAAACAAGGTTGTGTACCGAATGTTATTTTTGAGCACTGTTTTCTATTAAGCAAGGTATTATATACTATAGTAAAACTGTGACTGAACAAAGAAACAAACCAAATGCCTTCCACTTCCATTACAGAATGCAGTTTTGTCTGTTTTGAATTATTGTTTCAGCATGTGACGTATGCTCATGAAGAGATTAGAATACGTACAAAGGACTGGGGAAAACATATAACCGTTTTAGTGCAAGACAAATATTTACCTGAACACAAAACAGTTAAAGGAAGATAATATATTCCATACATTTATCTAAGGCAGATGGTCAGCTTTTTAAAAATACAAGGTATTAAATATGCTGCTCAGAAGAGGTAGAAAATACCAAAATCTTATTTCAGAAAACATCTATCTCTTAACACAATTAGCTACTTTGCAAAGAGTTAAAAAGAAGAGCTTTTCTATTGTCCAGCAGATTTTTTTTTGTTTTAGAAACAAGCCAGGAGAATAAAATAAAGAAAAGCTCATATTCTATAAGGATTTGCTCTAATTAAAGTCAGAACTGTACTTCTTCAATTTAATCATTTTTACCAACATTTCTGGCTTAGAAGTACTGTGTTAATAGTACAATCCAGCAAAATATAGTTGCTGGCAACCAACTCCCATCTATTTGGTTCTATGAGATTTTACCCACAACTAAATTTTTGTTGGATTGTGCCCTAAAAATTTAGTCTACACAGCATTTGTATATATTATATGGTACAAACTTGGAACACAATCTACTTGGACATTCGCATGCAAGCCTTGCTGGAATCTACTATGGTTCAAGTGCCATTCATCTCAACAAGGATTCAGAGGAATTCCCAAGTGAGAGTGCCCTTTTCTGTAAGGCAGTAGACCTTCATTACTGCTACCACTTAATGCTATTTCTTAGAATAGGTTATCCAATTGTGTAAAAATACTATGTTACTAATGGCAGAATCCTATGTGTTTAAATAGGAAAAAAGCCTACAGCTCCCAGCATGCCCTAATCAAATGAGTTGTAGACATTTTTCTGTCTAAACATGCATAAAATTGTGCTTTAAATATTTTATTTTATTTTATTTTTTAAAAAAAACACCTCCAAAAAGACTTCAGCCATAAGCTGGAATCTTAGGCAAAAGACATAATAAATAAACTTCCTTCAGCTTTGGTAGTTTCCTGACATAATGGAGAATCAGTGGCAGCCAGTTTCAGTAGCACAAGTGAGAGCTGCTATACTGTCTGTCACACAACTTGATAAGGCATTTAATCTGAACATACATTATCCTTTGGAAAAAAAATAGTGTTTAAAGCATCTGTCTCTTTTCCCTCCCCTCAGAAATAACATTCATCAATTTTTATTAAATAGCATATGTAAAGAAAGAGTTTTTGTACATTCAAACAAATCATGGCTACTATCAAAATAGCAAGAGACTCGGAACAAAGTAACTGTGCATGTCAAAAATCTAAACTGAGCAGGAGTTTAGAATATCGAAGTGATATGCAGCATTTCTTTCCTTATAAATTATAATTAGAGAAAATGTCCTCTTCTCTTGTCCTTTTTCACCACAGGACAGGATTATCCAGCTTGGAAAAACCAGGATTTTTTCTAAGTTCTAAGTAAGTGCCATTGCTGACCCAGGATTCGTCTTCAGATTTCCTGTCAAACAGTGAACACAGAATCTTTGTTCTCCTGCTATCTTAAGTCAGCTACCTCTTTGATGCTAAAGATTCTTGATTTTGTGGTGGAAAATGGGACCATACTTAACAGAAGTTACCCATGGATGAAAGCCAGGGCATACTGCCCTTAGTCAATCCCTGCTCCTGCCAGTAGGACTACATAGGAACTATACTTCACTAGCCCGTCACCACATCTTTTTATGGGGTAACTCTTATGCTATATTCTCCCAAAAGAGAATTTATTCCCCAATTTTCCTTGACCAAATTGGAAATGGCATACAGGGAATTCTCTGGTAGTTTCCGTTCGAGCACAAACCATACTAGCATGGTTATATCTCATGCACCTTAGATTCTGGCTTCTTGCAACATGTTTTCAAACTAGCATTCAGCTATCTCAACATAAGAAAACAACTTATTTTGGTCTCCCCCTACCCCACCAACTCATCTTTCTAACCATAAGACTCAAAAATGTATTAAGTGATGTGAACAATAAATCCCAAAGCTAGGTCTCATACCTTTCTTACTGCATCATATACCCATCACATTAATAGACAAATATTGTAGCATGATAATATGCCATCTTCTTAAAAATCACCTGAAAAATCTAGGCTGATGTTCCATATTGTTTTCTTCTAGAACTTTCCGCCGCTCTCTTTGTAGCTGTTCAATTCTCTGTTTTTGTATTTCTGCTCCTTCAATATTCCCTTCTTCTAGGAGCCTGCCAGAAATGCAACAGCACAGCATTACTGATGTGTTTCTCTCACTTTAGTGTCCATTAAGCCCTCCTGAAACAGCTAGTTTTGTTTTCTTGTTTTTAACCAACCACCACACTTGGTTAAACCCAGATCCAACCACTGCTACGGACTGTAGATTAGGTAGGAATATCAGTTTGTGAGGAAACTCATTTGGTGGAGAGATTCTAGAACTGAACAGAAATTAGAAACACAGAAAGAAGGAGTCTCCTGGGCAATCTAGTTTGATCGTCTGGCTCCAAACATCTCTGCTCATGTAATACCCAAAATGTGGTTGTTCAATCTTCCCTTGAACACCGTCAATGATGGGGTCCGCACCACCTTCCTTGGAAGCCCATTCCATATCCTAGGGGTCCTAACTGCCAGGAGGTACATCCTGACATCCAATGTGAAATCTGGTTCTTCAAGCTTTGCGCCTAATTGAAGGAAAGGACCTGAGCAGCTGATGAATTTTTCAGATTTGGGTAAATATCATCACTTCCCTCTTTTACTCCTTTCTAAAGGACCAAAAGAATAGATTATTTTACTCCAGGGCTGCCGCCTGCTTCTAAAGCAGAGTTAGACAACCATTTTGGCAATTTGAGATGGTTTGACAACCATTTTGGCAACTGTCCTGGGCACCACCACAAAATGGCTGCTATGAAAAGTATGTCAAAGGACAGGTAGTCTATCCAAAGTACTGAAAACAAGGCAGAGATCTTGTCTGAGGCCCCAAATCACTAAAGATCCTTTGAATCCATTGTTTTGAGTACCAACAAAAGCCTATTTCACAGCAAAATGTGGTAACTTTTTTAAAGTGTCTGAGGCTACACTGATGCCTGATGATGCTCAAAAGAATGAAGAATAATGAATGCTGCCATTGCATGTAATCAGCTGTATGACATGAAAAATTACCTTTGGTCTGGTCTAAATCGTGTGTCACTAGATGGTAACAGTGGTCTAGTGACTGGGTCCAATTCATTTAATTCTAATGCAAATTGAGTGAAACCATACCACTGTTCGTAATCTTTAGGCATTGGATCTGCAAAAAAAAAAAAAAAGTTTGTCCCCAGATAAAGATTATGATAAGATAAAGACTGTCCCCCAGATTGCTGTTTTAGTCTCCTTTTTAGCTTGTTTCATTGTAGTTCTATTTACTGAATTAATTTTTAGGATTTCTCCATGTTTGTTTTGTTCTATATAAATGGAAATGCAAAATATAATTTTCTTAAATAATTTTTGTACACAGAAGACAGAATATAAATGTCTTAATTAAGTAAAATATACATATCCATTGGCATGCACAGTATTCTCACAGACACCCAAGTGAAAGGATTTCAATAGTTTAGTGCAGATACACTGCTGCCATACTTTTATGCTGGAGCTAGATGGAGTCACTGAAGCCGTTGGTGTGAGCTTAAGTGGACTCCGGGGGATGGTGGAGGACAGGAAGGCCTGAAGGAATGTTGTCCATGCGGTCATGATGGGTCGGACACGACTTCGCGACTAACAACAACAACAGCAATTTCTATTGCTGAAATGGTTTTCTCTTTTTAAATTATTTTTTGTTTGCATCTTTTAAATTTTGTTTAATTTTAACTATCATTCACTTCTCAGAGAGCCTTAGCTATTATTTATTATTTATTTATTTAAAACATTTCTACCCTGTCCTTCCTGATAAAACTTCTCAGGACGGCTTACGATAATTAAAAGCAGTGATAATAACAGAATTACAATCAATAGTAATAAAACATAATGGCAAAACAATAATTAACATTCAAATCCAACAAAACTAAAGAAAGAAAATGCAACTGAATCTTTAAAACATCTAAAATTCTTAATATGATGGTTAAATAAAAAGGGTTTTACCTGGTGCCAAAAAGAGTATAAAGTCTTGGGTATAAAAATATTATTGGGTATAAAAATAAGGAAACGCAACATAACTATATGCTAACTATATACTATACATGGTTTGTTGCCTTAACCTTGCTAAAGATTTCAGATGTTCAGTGCAGGTATAGAGTAACCTGTGAAGGTTTGCCCTTGGAGACCAGATTGTCATCTTATTAACAGGCAGGCTAGAGAGACTTAGTCATTTAAACCATTGTTTCCACAGTTCATATAGTTTATATCCCAATTTGCATTTAATCCTTCAGAATGGTTTGGATATTTAGATGAAACAATTTACCATCATTAAGCTTTCTGTCTGCATGTGGCCAATAACACCATTTTTCCTATGAAAGAAATGTCATCTACAAAGGGTATCCTTTAAGAAAAAGCATCAGCCAGACTTAATCTTGACCTGTCTGGATTGTCATTTATGGAAAATCATTATCAAGTTCTCTGATACAAGACTTCATCTATGGCATAAGATATACATAATATTGTGAAGTACTGGGCAGAAATGTGCTAAAATTAAACATGTCTATATTCTAGGGAAAATGAACAGAAGAATGTAGTTAGTGAGTGTAACGTTTCTAACATGAATAAAAACAAAATACTAATAGCCAAGTGGGCACTAACTTGCTCTCCAGATGCAGTTCGCTGAAGACGATGATCCACAGTATATACTCTCATGCCATTTTCCAAAAAGACGATGTACTACTTTTCCATTTTCGTCAAAAACACTGCCTTCAATTTCATGAGCATTGTGATTCCAGTATTTTGTCTGAAGGTGGATTTAGCAAAATCAAAATTACTTTAAAGGATCAGAAAAAGATATTCTACTTTAGAAGTAGCAAAAATCATTATGTCAGTAATACAATCTTACAATCCTAGTCAACATCCTGATTGCCCAGAAAATTCTTGGTAATCCTGTTTGCCTTTTACATTAAATATATAGAACAACAAGACAATCTGAATATTTACCAAAGTAAGTTTGTAAAGTACCTTTACAAAAGTAAGCTTGCAGTGACAGCTGTTGTCATTCATATTCTTGATTATGATTTCTCCATAGTGTTCTATCCATCGCTGTCCACTTAAGATATTGTGAATGCATGATGTTACCTTATTCCATTCATAATGATCCCTAAAACTAAAATAAAACAGCAAATGGTATGTCCTGAAATTGATAACATGCAGGTTTTGAAAAATGTTCAGCTCAGATGCTCGGAATATTCTATTTAGATTCCCTTCAAGACAAGAACAAGGTAAAAGGTGTCTCGTGATTTAAAAAAAAGCTTTTGCACATATATAGTTTCCCTCCATCCACCCCACAAAAACGGGAGGGCTGAATTAACATACTTCAGAACTACTAGTATTTCACAAACGCTTCACAAATAAGAGGGCCCACAGTAGTGGTCTAGCACACGTTGCATGCAGAAATATTATGATAGTTGTATATATAGATAGCATCAGGTTGGGGAAGGCTGATACAGAGATTCTGCCCATTGGAACCCTTGAGTAACTTTTAGATATCACATCATCATCTCAGGTTAACTACCCACCAATTTACCCTGAAGATGACCCCTAGTTAATGTATGACATAAAAGTGTTTTTGCCAAGAAAGAACACGCAGTTGCTTGACTGGTTTGAGACAGCCTCTGCAGAAAGGTAAGGGCAATTCATTACTGGCATGATAGCCCAGTATCATCATGCATGGTATTAGAGAACTTACGCTGGCAAAATTACATGAGTTGTACCAATTGGCACAATTTCCATGGATTTCCCCCAGAATTTGTTTTTCCACCTGATATCTGAAATAAAACAAAAAAGCAACAAAATTACAAGGGTCCTGAACTGTGTAAGACTTTATAGGCTAAAATTAGCACCTTGAATTAGGCTTGGAAATTAGCTAATGAAAGTTGGCTAGAATTGATGCTATATGCTCAAGACCATCTGATCATTATTAATCTGACTGCTGCTTTTTGCACAACCGTTTTCAAGGACAGTCCAATATACATAAATGTATTGTGGTAATGTAACTTGGAGGTTTCCATCCAGTTTAAAACAAATGCCATAAAGTTATGAAAATAAAAACAGAGTAAAGTAATGGCAGCAAAATCCATGCTTGTGGGCACATGTTTACTGTACCAATGATTTCCTTTTCTCATAAAACTATAAAAGAGATCACTGGGGATCACTGGGGGCAATGGGCAGTATCCTATTCAACACTGCTGCCAAGATAAATCAGGTTGCTCGATCATAAATGACCTCTAGTGAAATGGCATTTGTACTGGTGTTGCAATAACCTTTCAGGAAAGACACATCACACCAGCAAATGCTACTGGCATTGTGCCAGATGCCACTTACACTAACACAGGAATGCAACAATTATTGTACACCTTGGCCTGAAGGTGTACCTCCCCGCACTCCCGATGTTTAGCACCTGCCATGGCTAAAAATTGGGAGGGAGAAGAAAGATGCTCTAGGAATATGTCTATAGTTCCTGCCATGGAACAGGAAACATTCCTAGAACATTTCAGGAAGCAGCAAATGAATGTTCCTGCCTACTTTCTAGGATGATCTATGAATGAAGTTCCTGTTCTATGGCAGGAACCATACAGCCTATCTTAGAGTGTTCCACCACCATCACCCCTTTTGTGATTGTACTGGGTGGCTGGTGTGCACAAGACCAAAACTATTGCTGCTGGGCTGACTGTGAGCCACTTGGCTGGCGCCCAATGCAGCCCCTGGAACAGAACCGCCTAGTACAACTTAATTCCTGCTAGTGGTAGTATTGAATGAGATAAAACTCTCAGTCTGAAGCCTGCCTAATAACTACTTCTTTATATCATATTCTTAAAGTGGTGGTATTCAATGGTAAGTTAAAGGGTTACCTTGCCAAAACACAAAGTTATCTGATTCAGCATGACATGCAGATATAGGTGGGTGATGACTGACCTAAAATGAAGAGGAAAGGAAGGTTACAAGCACATTTACAAATGTCATTTATTTCTTTGCTCATATTTATTTCTTCTGCATTGTTCAAAAGGTTTCATTTTCCTTTTGACCACAAGAGGGAGATTGCAAAATTAAAACCATGGATGAATAAAACAATACATAAAGACAGCTCTAAAAACAAAACAATAAGAGGGAATTGTGAAATATTCATCTTTGAAAAACTGGTAATGATTCTTCATTTATATTTTGTTGGGAATGTGGGCTAAGATTGCTATGATTCTGTTTGCACAGTGGAGGGTAAAAGGCATCTATCAACAAAAGAGCAAAATAACATATGCAGGAAAAAATGCAATAAAGGAAATGCAACTCTTTCAAAAGTAATGAATACCTACCATTCTATTAACCTCAAAAATTTGAAATTTTGCAACCTCAAGGATTCAAAATTTCATTGAGGAAGACAACATAAAGGACTCCTGAGTCAAAGTATCTCCTTAAAAAAGAAAGTATCTTTCTCTGTAACTTGGCATTATCATATTGATTCACTTCAGTCATTAACTGGGGAAAACCCAAAATAAATAAAATTCAAGTCACAGGGAAACAAACACACATGAGGGGAAAATACAAGAAAGAATATTTAGAGACTCTTAGAATACTACAGTCAGAAGGGGCCAGTAAGGCTCAGTACAGGATGCCAAGTTGAAGCATCCCTAAACTTTTGTCTGCCCAGCTATATCTTGAAGACCCCAGAGTGGGAGAGCCCACAACCTCCCTATTTGTTATTGGTTCCATTGTCCTATTGCTTGAAGTTCAGAAGTTTTTCCTGATGTTCAATAGGAATCTGACTTCCTGAGTCCATTTTCCATGTCCCAAGGCCTGGAATCACTGAGAAGAGATTCCGTCCCTCATCTGTGTATAACCTTTGAATTGGTATCATATCTCCCCACAGTCTTCTCAAAGCTAAATATGCCCACTTCTTCCAGTCTCTCCTCACAGGGCTTTGTTTCCAGTCCTCTTATCATCTTTGTAGCCTGCCCTTGAATGTTTCCTAGTTTGTCTATATCTTTCTTAAACCGTGGTGCTCAGAACTGGATGCTCTACTTAAGATGAGGTCTTACCAGTGCTGAGTACTGCACTAGTACTTCATGTGAGTGGGAAGTGTTATGTCTATTAATGCACCTCAAAAAGCATTTGCTTTTTTGCAGCCACATCACACTGTGGACCCTTTTAAGCATGTGAACAGTACACACAGAGGGGCATGAGTCAGGAGTCATGTTGAGAAAGTTGGCACACCACGGCTTATATGCTATTCAAGGGTAAAAAATGCAACTGATAATGGTGGAACCTGGTGTTGCGTTTGTCCTTATTCAGCAAGTCTATCGAAAATTCTCAGGGACTCAATTCAACACAGTAGCATTTTAATAAAATGGGAGTAAGACAAAACCATTTAAAGATGATATAAAATTCAACTCTTGATTATCTTAATCAGCCCCCCCCCTTTTAAAAATCGGGCTTTTTTGGAGTTGATACATGATGATGTTAAAAATAACTCTCCTTGCCCAAGGCTTCAGAGATCCAGAGTAGAAAATACAGAGCTGGTTGGACAAATTGTATGACCTAGTATAAGCCAGATTCCTAAATTCCAGCATATTGGTTATAATGAAAAAACACATCAACAACATAAATCATGAGGGAGGGAGAGATAGAATGAGAGAAACAGTGCAGAAACAAAACAGGTAAACAAAAGGCCATCAATCAGGACATATGGAGAAGAACAGTAAGAAAGCCTCAAAAGGTGCTAACTCTTAAAAGATAATAAATCTGAGGAAAGTCAGAATCAGCAGAGGTCAGTTGCTGAAGCCTAGTGGTACGGGTCGCAGCCCACAGAAAATGTTTTCTTCTTACCAAGGTATAAGGGTATTGCATATGCTTACAAGTTCTGTGCTACCAAGGCGAGCATCTCTGCACAATCTTAGGCCAACAATAGATTGGCTTAAGCATAACTGCTATTCCAACTGCTTAAAACTATATTAAACAGAGAGTTGCCTTCACATACCAGCAAAAGCAATAACCCTCAATCAGGATGGAACAAGTTTCAGAATGTGGAATCAGCAATGATACAGATTGCTCAGGTTCATCAAATGTCTTTCAGTGCACCATGAAATAACTAATCCTAAACAAAACTGACCTGGGAGCATGTCCCATCTAAGTTTAATCGAGGGTTGCACCAATGGCCATAGAAATATATGGCCACAAATTAAGAAGTGGATTCTCAGATTCATGTTAAGCTAGAGGTGGTTATCCTGGGTCTGCAAAGGTTGGAAACTGTTATGTGACTTTGCTGAACATATAAAACATTGATGGGCAACATATGGTTCCAGAGCACGGTATGGACAGCAAGATTATCGCTGCATGACTCAGGCTGTGAATATGTTTGCTTTCATTGGAAGTTCTGCAACTTACAGTGTCACAAATAAAACAGAAAGAAAAAAAGTTATTAGGTTAAAAAAAAGATGCACTGAGACCACCTCCCTTCAAGCGTTTCAGTTAACTTCAAAGTTAAACTGTAATGCACCTATCACTCATTTTACCGACATTCATTTTAATCCAGCACAAAAAATGATCTCATCACGTGTTAGAAGTCTGGGGGGAAAGAACGTGTTTTCCTGGTGTCAAAGGGCAGTAACACTGGTGTCATGTGAGCCTCCCGGGGGAGAGAATTCCTCAACCAGGACACCATTTCCACTGGGAAGGTCTTCTCAAATACCATACTCTTCAAATGCCAAGGCACCTGGAGAAAAAGAGCTTCAAAAAAAAAAAAAAGCCTCCAAAAAGAGAAATTGTGTGCACATGCTGATGAGAAAGCACACAGTCTTCCAGCCATGCAGTGGCCCAAGCCATAGAAGGCACTTAATTTAAGCCCCAACACTCTGGATTTTGCTCATGAGTGGAGCAAAAGTCAGTGTTGCTGATTACAGGCTGGCGGGAAGTGTCCCCAATGAGTAGTCCCAGTCAGTCCAAAATGCAGCTGCATTTACTAACAGACGTTTTCTGCAGGAAGTAACCACAACTGTAATGATTATATGCAAATCATTTTAATTACATGCAAGAAAATTATGTATATTTTCCTTATAAGCAGATGCTATGCTCCTGGAGGGGTTGCCTGTGCCAACACATTGCTTACTCCTTCTAAAAAGTTCCTGAGTAACTACAGTCTGTCCTGATATTCCCAAGTCTGAATTGCCATTGTGTCTCTGAAATGGAAAAATGAAGCAGCCCAATATAGATTGCCCAAGAGAGACTCATACAAAGTAATCCAAATTTAGCATATCTTTCAAACTGAATGACAATAGGATTATAGTACCTGTTCAGAAAAAAATTGGAAACCTTTATCTTCACGAATACATTCATAGGTTTCTCCAAGCACAGGATTAAATGGTTTACTTCCAGCTCTGTAGTAACTGGATGCGTAGGCAGATACCGCAAAAGCAGCTACGTATACCTAAAAGCAGAAAGCACTGCATTACATTGGAAATTAATAAGGGATTGTGGTGTGTCTTATCCGTCCCTACGTTTAAGTACATGTATGTGCTTTTAATAAAGGTTTTGATCTCACACTGATGTCAGACACCATTTCTCTCCACTTTGCAATTTTCAATTTTATGTCAGAGCCTTCTGCAAGCCAGAGTGTTACCTTGAGTCTTGGAATATGACTCACTGTTTACAGAATTACTTTAAAGCCTTTCCTATAGCTAAGAAAAATTTGACAACCTCGGGAGCAGGACAACAGAGGACTAAAAGTGAGCTGCTTTGAACAAAATTCCTGCGCAAAGAATACATTTGTGATTTAGTTTTAATCTCATTTCATTCCTGTTACAAAAATAATATGAACAAGTCTCCCAGACAAACAGAAATACTAGAGAATCCTGCAGCCCTGTTGAGGTAAAATGGAGCCGCCAGTGTGTAAGGGCCTGGACTGCTTCATGCACTGAGGAGGGGTGCTAAAATCTATTTACTGGCCAGTGTATGGGAATCAGCAGGCATAACACCAGCATCTCTACCATACAGAGGGCAGATATGACAGTGCAAAATGATGCCTTTTTATCACCAAGGACTACATGAACATTGGTCAGTTTTCTTGTCACTTTATCAAAACATCATTTAATCCTCGAGTGGAGATAACCTCTGACTTCAGGATTACTGATGAGGCAATGTGGATAATGCTTCTTTTTGGCAGCATTAGTAGTTGATTCTTTGGGGGAGAAAGTTGTTATATGAATAAATTTCATACTGGATAAGTCTTTAATATTCACTGATGTGCATACTTTTAAAAATTATTTACCTCCTTAATGGAAATTAACCAGTAGTCAACATAAATGGATTGTCTGATGGATAGTTAAAGGACTGATAGAAATACTGGAAGGATAAACACTCACTCCCATATCACAGGGGATGGAGGACCCTATAAAATTTTTAGCATTTGAAAGGGTGGCATAGAGACCACTTTTAAATGTATACTCATTTGAATATCTGGGGTGCTGAAGCCTATATATAAGAAGCTGCATTTATTATATACTTATATAATAAGCTGTTAATATGTTTGATTCAAATGTATTCACATATGAATGTGAATGTTTATGCACACACACACACTCATAAAAATAAAAAGGGAATGGAGATAAGCTAGAACCAGTGCCATCTGAGAGCCAACTTAGATGACACTTGTTAAACAGCAGTAGCAGCTGGGACTGCTTCATGCAGAGGCTGGCAGAGAAAGCTACGCCTTTGCAAAATAGTCTGAATGGAATCCTCCACTGCACAAGCTGCTTCTGGCTTAGGGAGGATGCAGCCTTTGCTCCCAATGGGAACTTCCCTCACAGGATGAACAGCAACTTGCTGGGATGGTTGTAGGGGAGGGGGCTTGAAAGAGCAACATGGGAGGAAAGGGTAACCCTCATTTCCTTCTAACCTGACTGGCTCCACTGCAACTCCCTCCCGCCCATAACGCAATGATCAACGGTTAGGTCTTTTCTGAGAATGTTAATCTTGGTATGGGAAAAAGGCATGAATAAGAAACATTTCTTGCAATCAAGAAAGTCTGCCAGTTATTAGCGCGCAAGATCAGTTATGCTCAGGAAGGGGTCACTTAGGGTGTTCCCTTTGCACACGCTTCTTTCTGAATGAAGAAGTCTCTTTCAGCTGGCATGCTCTTTCTCTCCCTGTTGCATTCATCAGCACTTGCAGATGGCAGACTTCCAGACTGCACAGTGCTCCTGCTGAAAATCCTGCAATGGCACCAATGCCCTTTCCCCTTTTTAAATTCTGTGAGACCCACTGGTAGGCTGCGCATGGTCCAGCTGCAATGAGCAGGACCAGGCTGACGTTTCCCCCTCCTGCTCTTCCATTAGCTATTCTAGTGGACTGAGAAGAGGAAAGAGGATTAACGGGGTGGGGATTCATGCAAATGCACACACACAAAGCCTTCAGACATGCAGAGGGCCCACATGCAAAAGAGAACAGGAGTCACTCTCACTTGACCTGCCCCAGGTACAGTTTCTTCTTACCATCCTCTCAAACAGACTGGGGGTGTGTGCCGCCTTGTCCAACAAGTCGCTGTATTCCAGTTCCTCGCAGAGTCGCTGCAAAGTGTTCAGTGGCTCATTCAACTCAACCGGCATAGCAACCTTGGAGAGATCTTTCCCAATATTGTTGCGCAGAATGTTCCAGAGGCTGATGTTACTTGTGTTGGGGCATGGAGCTGGCAGGCACGTCCTCCGCTTGGAATGGCATTCCATGCTTCCATCAGGCATGGAATCTAGAAGACAGATTCCAGAACAAAGTTTGGTAAGTCGCTACTTTTGCAGAATCTCTCTCTTGGGTTGGTATTTCCTTTACGTGTCACACTTGTCATTTCTTCCAAAGCGGCTCGTCAACAGCCAGCCAAGGTTTCATAACCAACTTTGCTCCTGCACCGCACTGGCTGAGCTTCCTAGCTTTCAACTCCAACTACATAGCCCAGAAATGAGTAAGAATATAGGAGAGCTATGTGGGGGTGGGCAGGGCCGAAGCCTCATTCACACACATACATATATCTCAGGGCAGAAGTCTGTAGTGACAAGCAATGGGATTTCCTTCAGTCAAAAGCCAGTGGGGAGCAATGCAGCACTTCAGATGAAAAGTAAGTATGAACCAGTGACAGTAGTTGTTGTCTGATGGGCTGGTAAGCCTGCTGCCTTAAGAATGCAGTGGTGCAACCAAACCTGAAGAAACCCACTTTAGATCTAATCTTACTAGACAGTTACTGCCCTTTCTAACTCGAGAAGGTAACTGAGCAAGTCTTGGCAGAGCAACTGCAGCACCCTTATCTAGACCCATTTCTGTCTGACTTGTGACCTAGTGATGGGACTGAATCAGCCTTGGTTACCCTGATGTACAATCTTTATCAAGACAGGGACCTGTTAATCCTGCCTGGTATCTCATCAGCTTTCAATATCACTCTCCCAGACTGACTCCACAGATGGAGCACCGGAACAGTTTGGCTTTCAGAGAACAACACTGCATATCCCCCAATCCATTAGGAAGCAAGCTATGGGGTTCCATGGGGTACCATCTTGTTCCCAACATCGTGTGACATCTATTTGGGATCTAGAGTTACAGCTCTGATTCCTTGTGACATCTCAATCAGGGAAGACTGTGAGAGTCCTGGATCAGTGCCATGACTCAATGATGGGCTGGATGAAGGCCAATGAACTGGAGCCGAATCCTGGCAAGACAGAAGTTCTGCGGGTGAGTGGATCCCAGGTCCAGAAGACAGGCTCATTGTCTGTTCTAGATGGGATGCACACCCTCTGAAAGGTCAATTTTGTAGTCTTGGGGTACTGCTGGGTCCACTAGTGCCACTGGAGTCCCAAGTAACTTGGAATGCCAGCTTCAAGTGGTTCACTGGCTACAGTCCCTCCTGCACAGGGAAAGCTTGGCCACAGTGATGCAGGTACTAGTAACCTCAAGACTGGATTACTGGCAAAGCACTTTATGTGGGGCAGCCTTTGAGGCTGCTCTGGAAGTTGGAGTGATGCTGTTGCTAAGCATGTAACTCCTTTGCTGGAAGAACTGCATTGGATGACTATTCGCTACCAGTCCAGGTTTAAGGTCCTAGTACTAGCACACACATTCTCAACTCTCTTGGGAACAGGCAGGTTGAGAGGGTGCCTTTTCCCTCACAGCCTCCTTGATCACAGAGGCCTCCAAATGGTCCATTTCTGCAGGTTCTGTGTAGGCCTCTGGTTCAAGTGGGAGCCACCTGGAGAAGAGTCTTGGGTGGAGTGGCTTGCTTTCTGCCAAACTCCTTGCCTCTGGCAGTTAGGCAGGCACCAACACTGTAATAAACCACTTTATTTCAGGAAGCATTCCTGAGCTAACTAGCCATATTTTTTTAAAGATTTGGTTTTAACAAATCATTTCATTCGTTTTACCTGTTTATCTTCACTATGCCTCCCTATGCCAGGCTAGGGAGTGGTATATAAATTGTGCCGTATATACATTTTGTAAATAATTGATTTTGTAAAACCCACACCCTCTTCACACATGCATCTTCCTCTCCTCTCCCTTTCTCATGCTTTAGTTCCCCTTCCCACCCTTGCCCAGGTTTTGAAAAAGGGCATCTCTAAGCCAATTTACTGTGCTAGGGTGTAGGCTGTGATTTTTAGGGGATGGAGAAATACAGAGAGATGAGAATTAAATTATTCCCCAGTCTCTTCCCAGCTGGCAATCAGGCATGCAGGAAAAGGCTCCATTTGAGCAAGTGGACCTGTTTTTCCAATCACGTGGCCGTGAAGAAAGAGGGGCTGAGAGAGGAAACTGTGGGCCACTTCCACAGCTTCTGAGAGTCACAACCACCCCTTGGGCCAGAGGTTTCCCAACCCTCCCTTAGTAACTGCACCACACTGACTCTTTCTTTAAAAAAAAAAAAAAAAAGATTTCACAAAAATGAATGCCTCCTCATTTGGAGCAAGTATTGCACAATTAAATACTGTACTGTTGGAAGGTTATTGTGCATTTAGGGCACAATCGTATACATGTTTATTCAGAAAAAAAGTCCTAAAACTCCCAGCATGTCCCAGTCAGCATCGCCAGATGAGGCGTGCTGTGCACTATAGGGTTTTTTCCTGCCTAAATATGTGTAGGAAAGTGGGAAAGTGGGAAATTAGATTTCAAATGGGAATTTGTAATTGCCAACCCAGCCAGCAGAGCAGAACCTGAAAGGTGTGAAGTACAGAATGTTTTATATAAGGTTATATACTTTTGAAAAAGTCTGTGGCTTTTTCAAACCAGAGTTTTTATGCTGGGGAAGCTGATATTTTTTATAGCTCTGGACAGTTTCCTTTTGTTCTGCCCTCCTCATGGGTAAAGTACAGCAGAGGCAAAATAAGAGAGTTCCTCATCGTAAACACAGCCTGGAGGGAAGACATCTGTGCGTAAAATGTGGGCAGGGGCTGTGCATTCGCTGTATTACAGCAGTGATCTATTCCCACATAACTGCTGCAGCCCACATGCTGGAACGAGGGCATAGGACCTGGGACAGCTGTATCCCCTTCCCTGCAGCTTTGGCAGAAGTGTATTTCAGTGCATCCGGCCATTAGTGGGAATGGGGAGTCTGCACACACGCTCCTCATTCTCCCAATGGCACAAGTTGCACAAGCTCCGAAGCGGCAGAGGGACGGTGGGAGAAAAGTAGAATTCAGTCAAATTCTGTGCTATTCTCTTCATGCATGGGTGGCTTCTCCCACATGAGGACACATCGCTGCATGCAATTCCACTGCTGCACAGCAGTCCTTTACAAGAAAGACCCCCTAAATGTTCATTTCTGCTTTACCGATTTCCAGTAAAAAGGGACAAGGCATGGGCGACAAATATTTTCAGAATAAAAACAAAACAAAACAAAAAAACACTCCTACCGAGGGTCTGCCTTTCATTCTCCACGTCATTACTTAGGTTGTCTTCAGAGATATTATCACTTACATCACTGACGTACGAATCATCATCAGATACCTAAAGGGGAAGGACATATGCTTTCATTCTGACTGAATGAGGTGGAACCCCCCCTTTTGCATGCGTAACAGTGAAAAACGAAAAAAAAAAACACCTTAGGTCATTGAAGTTTGAAACAGATATTGCAACAACAGAATGTCGTTGCAGCATCCATTATGGATTTAGCCTGCGTGCACCTACAGAGAAATAAAAGCCTGAATAAAAATGTCTATATTAAAAAAAATCCTTGTAACATTTGTCAAAATGATACAAGGGAAGTAATATTTAAAGCATATGTTGCTTAAGGATATTTCTCCTTAAAAATATAGTAATATCTACATCCAAGCAGCGTTTTCTGTATTCATCCCCCAGCCTCTCACTGTGTTCTTAAAAATGTTTTAATGAGCAGCCAGCAAAACACACCATGTGTCTTGAAATGACACACAAGACATAACTTGTTGCCCTGGGACTGCAATTAGTGCAAAACACAGTAAAGGTCAAGCAACCTTGAGACAAACAACTTGAGATCAATGCTTCCAATGCTAGTGCCCAGACCTCATTTTCTGAAGAGCTGGCAGACAGCAGGACTTCCTGTGCATCAAAAAACTCTGTCAGGGAATCTGTTATGGACAGTCGACTTTCATTGGAGAGCTGGTGAACTAGACTCCTGTTTTCATCTTCTGAATGTTCCTGCAAAAGAGAGAAGGAAATGAGTCCTTAGAAAAAGTATACTGTACAATGTGCATGTGGCTATAAAGGCACAAAAGCCTTTAAAATTTCTAAGGAACATTTGCTCAAATTGTAAAACTAATAATGCAGTTTTCTCTGTCTGTCTGTCTGTCTGTCCGTCTGTCTCTCTCTCTCTCTCTCTCTTTCTTTCACTGGGTAGTATTTTTCAGCACACACACAGGTGGCTGAGAAGCTGGAAAGTACACAATTTCCCCAAAGTACTTGGCCAGTGCCCATGAAAAGAAGCCTTGTGATCGTTCTTCATTTAGTCTGTCTGCCTAAGTGTGCTAGGCCATGTCCGTCAAAGGTAGTTGTAGAAACAAATGAAAGGAGAGGAACAGCTGGAATGGAATAGCTATAAAGAGGAAGATTGCGAGAAAAAAGGGAAAGAGGAAATAGCTTCCCTCATCATGGAACCTTCTGCACTTTCATTTTCACTTAGGAAGGGCAAAGCCTAGAGAATCTTTTTAATTTTTTTCCCAGTTAAAAGGTTCTTTAACACCACACTGTTACAGAGTGGCAAAAACCATTTCATTCTTTTGATCAAACAGTAAGCAGCACAAACAGCTAAGTTAAAATGACATCCCTCAGTTATCCGACAGCTTATCTGTAATGGTTTTTCTATTAAAAGGCAATTACAAGCCCATTTTCCATTTGACAGCTTTGCTGTTTTGTCCTGATAATTTGGTCACTTAACTATCAAGAGCTATTCCATGTGTCAGTACTTCACACTAAACATATAATCAAAATGAATAAACTCAACTGCAATTAGGAACACATCCCTGTGAGCTTTGCCTATGCCACTTTGAACTGGAAACAGGCTTTCAAGCAAGTTACTATGATTATTAGATTCTGCCATATGCAAAGTTCACTGTCAACAAATATGCTATGTTGACTCAAAGCATTTCCAAAAGAAAGATCATTACCACAGTAGAATGAGTAAAAACATGGACGTTACCATTTCTGAAGCTTCATATAGTTTAGATAGGAAACGTTTAATGAAATCAGTGGGACTGCTGGAGATTATGCTAACTGCATTAGGATGTAACTGTTTTGGTATCAAAATTGCAAGTAAAGGACACAGAATGCTTATGAAATGGTCAAAGACCATTCTGGAAGGAGAACTCAATGTTGAGGAATAGGGCTAGTCCTTCTTTAATTTTGGCCTTTTACTAGCTGAGGCTATCACTGTGTAGGATGGCTTACTTTCAAGGAAACTCCTCTATATAAAGGCATCCTCCATTTGAAGAGCTGTTCAGCCTTAGTCTGGAGACCCGTTAACAGTAAGCACCTGATCAACAGGCTGAGTAGGCACAGAAGACCTTCCCACTATGGTGAGCTGTATTGGGTTCTTATAATTATAGCCATTTGCATCTCTCTATATAAACTAGCGCATACATTTTAATGCAAATGTGTGCCCTCTTTTTTGATACATGGTACCCTGACTGTGTATGGGTAGAAAAGTGGTAAAGTGAAGTAAGCTGACAGAAAGAAAATGCATGTGTTTGAAATGTGGTGCTGGAGAGAGCTTTGCAAATACACTGGACCAACAAAAAGATGAACAAGGTCCTAGGTCATATCAAGCAAAAACTTTCGCTGGAAGCAAAAATGACAAAACCGAGGATGTCATACTTTGGTCACATCATGAGAAAGCAACATTCCTTGGAGAAGACAATCATGCTAGCAAAAGTCAATGGCGAAAGAAGAAAAGGATGATTCAATAAGAGATATATTTACTCCATAAAGGAAACCACAACCTTGAATTTAAAACAACTAAGCAAGGATGTTATAGGTAGGGCATTTTGGGGGGCTTTCATTCATAGGGTCACCATAAATTGTCATTGACTCTGTATCTGCAACCATAAGCTGGAAAACAACAACAGAATAAGAAGCCCTTCCATACATGTGCATAGAAGCACAGATTGAAATGGATGAATTAATTTGGCGAACAATCACATTTGCTGGCAATGCAAGGCAAATAAAATGTCAGCAAAAGAAGTTTCTGAGACGAGGTGCTCCAAGTGTTTCGGCCCATAACATCCATCCTTCTTCACCACTGGGTATGCTAGGACTAATAGAAGTTGCAATCCAACAACACCTTGAGGGCCACAAGTTGACCACCCTGCCTTAGATGAGGAAATCTGGCTCTTCTACAACTGAATATTTACTGCAATTATGCTTGCAAATGAGTCAATGGAACACTTGGTTTAGAGACTGATAGGACTACTGGCACTGAATAGTACGCTGTGGTGTCCTTTAATCTTGTCCCAGTTATACTTAATCCTTATAGATTTAGTTTTCACATAAAACATTCCTCAACGTCAGTCATGAGATGCAGTATACATTCACTCAGTTGCTTCACTGAAATATGGCAATGTGGCAATGCCTGCACTACTATTTTTTACCTAATTCATACAAAAACTACCAAAGTTTTTCCAGTGAGGAAAAAAAAGCAATGGATTTTATCACAGTATGTAAGCTTGTTCAAATATACCTCATAACTATAGGGTTAGGCAGCTAATTTTTGGCATTTGGAATTGTAAGTGAAGGGCAATTCACTAAAATCTTTCAGTACAGACAGATCAATTGTATTTGTTCAAGCAGTGAGATCAATGCACCCTCAAGAATAATTTTGACAGCTTGAGCCTAAACCATCATACTTGTGAATAATCATGTATATACAAGCCTATGTGTTCAGCAGCATAACGAAATACTTTAAAGTCAAGAGTGGCCACGTTTTTACTGACTTCCCTAAATGTCTTTTTGTAGGCATCCCTGAAGAGTGTGCCAAAAAAGCCATCCCTTTTTTATAACGTCTTTCATTTGTAATTAAAAAAAAAAAAAGCACTACTTCTTCCCTCACTTCAGCAAAGTCCATGACTGTGAAGCCAATCAGCCCTCTGCACAAGCAGAGTTGCCACTTTGATCATAATATGGTGCACATGCCTCAATGAAAGTGAATAGACTCTCCTGTGTTTTCCCATGCTACTTCCTTTGTATATTCACAAATTCCAAATTTTTTATTTTTGGAGGAATAGGTCGCGGCACCATCTCTGAAGGTGGAGATTGACTTTGTGCTATTCATCTATCTGTTTTGTTTTATTTTGAAAAGATAAGGTTTTGAGATGCACCTTGATGTTGCAGAAGACTGAATCCTATAGTCACACTTCCTTTCAATGCACCTTCAACCCCTTAACAGCATGTTTATAATCAACTTAAAATGGGTGCTAAAACAAACAAAACACATTTTAATGCATTTGCTTTTTTAAAACCCAATTAAAACATTCAACAGATAGTTACCACAGTGCACTCAGATGCCTTTGTTGCTCCACACCCCCTCACACAGCTCTATTACACCCACTTGTGTGGAAAATGCACACACTAAATGCACCAAGGCCAATGTGCCATTTGCAGGTCTGTGTGCTGTTTAGAGCAGAACAGCAGTAACTGAACAATGCAGTCCAGAAGCATCCCCTGGGCTATATGAGATATGCAGAGAAGTTGCATTTGAACATAACAATTATCCCTAGTTGCAGTACAAGTGCGGACACATTAACTTCCTTTCTTCCCTGCCCTTCCAGGTTATAGCACAGTATACTCCCAAAACTATGCACAACGATTCCATGGCACCAGCTGTTCACATAAAATGTCAACCAATGAGTTAAATCAGCCTGTCAATTCTTTTTACCTTCTGGAAAGAAAATCACATTTGCTCTGGTAAGTTCCTAAATCACTTAATATTTAGGAAACCCTTCTTTTAAAATTTCCCCAGCCTGCTCACTACAGTGCATAAACGTATTTCCATTTATTCTCATTCAGCTTCCAGACAATCTCAGTTGTTCATGGCAGGAACACATTCAAACAAAAAAGTGAAAGGTGGTAATGGAAAGGGAAAGGCTGCCGCTCAAGAAGTTTGGGGACTTTAAATTTTAATTCTTTCAAGCAACAACAATGTAGGTTTGGGGCTGCAATGAAAGATTCTGGTTTAAACAATCATTTACAAAATAGTGCATTTTGCCTCTCATGACATTGTTTGGGGGATTTTTCATGTGCTGTAATGAGGGAACGACAGTAAGTTAGGAATGTGGGGAAGGTACAAAGTTTGGTGACACCAAAGCATATGACAGGAGAATTTTGGTTAATGAAACTAAGACGAGATGAAAAGGTAGAGAGAAGGCTGCTGGCAAAAAGTAATGAAAACATGCTCAGAAATAACATTTTTCTAGTGGAAAGCATTCATAATGCATGCCATGCTATAATATCAGATGAGTCATAAGTAGGAGGAAAGGAACAGCCAAATGGGGTAGAGCCAAAAACAGGGCATCAGTAGGGCCAAGATGTGGTGAGAGATGCAGAAAGATAGGAAATGTATACCCACCTTGGCCAAATCAGGGATGGATTTTGCACTAGCTGCTGAATCAAGGAGAATAGATTCGGCATGTATTCTGCGTAACCGGTCTTTAAGATCTGTGTTTTGTGCTATGGCCTAGAATATTTAAGACAAAAAAGTACATTTGGACTATATCAGGGTGACTTGGCTAATTTCATATGGTTGCCTCTTTGATACAAAACACAGACGTAACAGAGTTCTCAGCATATCTAAAGGAAAATATATACCTGCTTCTTTGCCTTTCTGCATGCCAGCTAGTGGAAACAGAATCTCCTTTCCATGAAAATGATGGATTTAGCTGATGGGAAGCTGGACAGTAGCTGCTGACAGGCTTACTGAAGAATGTCTTTTGTAGAGAATCACTGAGTGACGCAGAGGGGTGACTAACAGAGACCGGAACTTTAACCAGAGCCCCAAACTATTGCTCTGCCACAGTCTTTCACCACATGGTGCCCTCCAGATGCGTCCAACTACAATTTCTGCCATCCCCAGCCAACACATGCCCCATTGACACTGGCTGGGAATGATGGGAATTGTATTCCAATACATCTAGAGGATGCCTGGCTGGGGATGTTTGGACTCTTACGTGTCCTCCAGTCACTGAAGCCCATACCTTAGGGCCTAACTACATGTGACGTTAAATATGCTGTGTAAATAAGAAAAAATAGCATAAAACTGAGCATGGGGAACAATGAAATGAACTGAGACTGTATATACAGGAGGAAAGAATCCACCTTTCCTTCCCCACCACAATACTGAACACTGCTATCCCCACACATGGGAGCTTCTTGTGTTGTTTTTTATGTGAGGTATCAAGTGTAGGGTGTTTTTCACGGTTGGGGGTAAAGAAAGGGTTATACATCCCTTCCCTTGTGTCCTGTGGTCCTGATTCAGACTGCACCAGATTGGGAGTAAAACCACACTTGGTTTAATGAAAAAACATGAACACCACTCATCATGCATTAGAAAATAATAATAATAATTTGGTGGGAGGTGCAGCAATTAGTTCAAATCAAGCCCTTCAAGCAGCTGCTTAGTATACTGATGCCACTTGTGAGGTCAGGGGTTTCTAGGCCCTTCTTTGTTCCATCCATTGCTACATCTATTTCCTCACCTTCTTAAGAGATTCTCAGGTTCCTGCAAACTTGACAGAACTTTTAGTAAAAGGATGACTAATCTCCGTGGAAAGTACATGGACTGATTATCTTCTAGTGCTCCATCACTACCACTCTAGCAAACACTTCCTTTGCTTTGCATTAGCAGAGCGTCATGGGTAGCAAAATTAGGAGAGATCATCCCCAAGATGAAGGCTTGTCTCCTCTTAGTTTTCAACTGAGGTCAGACAAGGGAGAGTGAAGAAGGCAACCGTCTGAGAACATCAAGTCCACCACACTGAAATCAGCCCTGCCAACTCAGTTGCAACACCAGTGAAACTCAAGAGGGTCAGTCTCCCATGATAATAACTGGCATTAAACCGTACATGAGTAATCAGAGCAAGATCAAGTAAGCCTCTTCAGCAAGTGGGAGTAATGTGCTTTCCTCAAACAGAATATGATATTTAGGATAAGTACGACTAATCACTTGGTAATGTACATTTGCTAATTATCTTCCTTAGCCATAAAAAGGAGCTGCAATCAAACTCATTACTTCAATGACTTACCTATGAATAGACATGTACAGAATTGTGTTATGCAGCAACTCTTTTGGTGCAACTGAGATTACTTTATTTTAATGTTTAGAGATGTCAGAAAAGCTGTGTCCATATGCAACACTGTGATGGGGGTGTCTTCAAAGAGATTTCCATATTTGTGGATGTGGTTTGATATATACAGAAATGTAAAAGCCAGGCCACTATTCTGAACTGATGAAGCAGATGTCAAAAATTCCAAAATGCAGTTGCTAATTCAGGAATTCAATACATGACATTTACTTTCAGAATGATATGAAGGTTGCAAGTCTGTCAGGTGTAGGAAGAAATAATTCAATAAGATTGTAGGCAATTTGAAAATATATTCATTTACAGTATCTTGGCACAGCTGCCCTTACTTTTGTTAGATGCTTTTCTTCCCCTCTTTTTCATACTGAGCTCAAGCTCATCCCACAAAACTGAATAGTGGTAGATTCAAAACAGCATCTTGTTAAACCAAACTGGTACTAAAATTTGCTATTATATAGTGATGATCACCAAATTTGAAGCTTTGAAAGGGAGTTAGGCAAATTCATGGAGGAGACTGCTATCAATGGCTACAATTCACACTTGTCCCAAGGACCACAGCAGTGTGTTTTGGAATATCAGTTAGGAATACAGGTAGCAGCCTTATATGAAGGCAGCCATTGGTCAGTCTAGCTCAGTACTGTGTACAGCAGTGGATTCCTCCCAGATGTGCAGCACAACTCTCAGCACAACTGGCTAGGGGATGCTGGGAGTTGTAGTCCGAAACGTCTGAAGGGCAGCAGGTTAGGAGATGCTGGCTGTCCCTGACTGTTAGCTGATCTCTGGAACTGGAGGCAGGAGGTTTTCCTGGTCATATTCAGATATGTCAAGAAACGAAGCTAGAACTTTTGGCTTATACAAAGCACATTCTCCAACCTTTCAGCTGATGGGAAACACAGGAAGGGTGGTTGCCCTTCTGCCACGCTTGTGGGCTTCCCATAGGCCACTGTGGGAACCAGAAGATCCTCTTTCCAAAACCATAACCGGATCCACAGGCACATTAGCCGAGGCTTCGGCAAGGGGCAGCATAGAAATGTTTTAATAAATTAAAAAAAAATCCCACTCTGCTGGCTTTCAGAAAAGGTATTAGGACAACATATTTTAAACCTAGCCTTTCTAACTTTTTGAAAATGTGTGATCATCTAAATCTTTTAAATGGTTTATTTATTGTTTCCTGGCATGGCTTGACAAGTAGCCATCCATGTACCTTCCCAAAGTAAATAAGGCAGCAGGCCATATAAGATAAGTTTCATTGACACAACAGGACACAGATATTGTTTACATGGTTTCTCCTGCTGTGTCTCAGAAAGATGTGTCTCATCTTTTGACATTTTCAAGTAAACAGCAACAGATTTCACTCCGGACAGTAATGTTAAAGCGAAGCACAAAAGAAAGCCCATGAGACCTTTAACTCAACGGGACATGTGTTAAATCAAGCCAGGATGTCATGACTGTGGAAGCAATGCTGAGCATTTCCTTCAACATTTCTAAAGATGCTAGCATTCTTAGATCAATACTCCAAAATAAGCTAAAACACTTTAAAAATCTATTGGTGAATTAGTCCAGCAGTATAGAAGGTATTTTGACTCATGTCTGGTATTACTTCTACTTTTCATTAAAGATCATTTGGGAGAAACAGTTTGGAATGCACTGAACGAGTGATCTCATTAAGGGATTTCCACAAGAAAATTCATGCATCTATTCCTGACTCCTACCAACTTTACTGAACAGATACTCTCTCTCATACCTTCCCCTTTCCCCACTCCCTGCCCTAATGTAAGTAGCTTTCTCTCATCAGGCATCAAATCTCTCCTGAAGAGAATGAATGCTGGGAATGAAGCCAGAGAGCCACTTTCTCTAACTGTCTGCACTGTAACTTCTAATTCCCCAAAGAATTTGTCAGGGTCATTTTTGTTTACACCTTCTCTGCCAACCCTTCTTCCCTAAGATTTCCTGGAGATGCTTCGCTGTAGTCAATATTTCTTCCAGGAAAGCATCAAGATATCATCTCAATTCTTGGCAGTGACTATCAAAGCACCATCTATAGGTAACCAGATAAAAAGGGAGAACATTCTGCATTCAGCAGCATCTCAAGACACTCTATGTAAAATGGCGTACATTTCATTTATATGTGGAATCGACATGTAAAAAGGCCATCCAGCGTGAAATAAGGCCATTTCAAACAGCCAAGCCAGAACTGGAAACCTGTTCAGACTGCGGTTTCTGCTTCTGCATGGGAGGTAAACTATGGCTTGTTTTGACAGATATGGATGTCATGATAAACAATGGTTACTACAGAATCAGGGAGGAAGGAGAAAATTGGAGAATAATGTAGGCTGGGATGTGGGGTGGGGTGGGGTGGGGGGTAGGGGACAAGAGTCAGGATCAGAGTTCAGCATCCACAGGCACATTAGCCAAGGAGACATTACCAATCTCTGAAACCCACTGCCCTTGTGGCTAGTCCTCATAGACATGACTACGAATCCCACTAGTGTCATTCTGTGGGAAAAACCCAGGTAAACAGAAGTGCAACTGGGCTGGCACTAGAGCCAGCCCCGTGCCCCCCAGATGTATCAGACCACAACTCCTATCATTGGCAGTTATTACAGCTGTGCAAGCTTGAGATGACGGGAGCTGTAATGCAGCAAATCTTGTGGTAACCAGGTGGGGAAGGCTGCTTTCCAGATACTTTGCATATGTAGTCTCTCAATCACAAACTGCTATGCTGGCTGAACAACATTTTTTTATATCTAAACAGGCATAGGATTGAACACACCTTAAATCACTTGAAGCTCCAATTTTATGCCACTGCACGGTACTGGTAGACAAACGGGGCTCAGAGGGGGTTATTCCCTACTACTTTTTCCCACACTGAATGGCTCAATGGCTCCCAGTCAGGTGTTCTTCCTGTTCTGGCAGGCAGCAAGCAGAGGAGGAAGAAAAGGGCAAAGCCAGGATGGCTGCTGGTGGTTATGGGAATGGCTACCCAGTTAATCATGTATGGTAGGAAACAGTCTGTAATGCTGCTTTGTGAGGCTACCTGGGTTTGTTTTTCATGCATAGTCTGCAGCTGGGGGGGAGGGCATTTGGTGAACTGGGACTAATATCAAGGGTTGAGCATCTCCACCTGCCTCAGCTCACCTGCCAGCTTGCAGCCCGATAGTCTGTTGCCTGAAGACCAGCTCTGGAAGGGCTGCTCGGTGGAGAGACAGGCTAGAGTCAATGGGGACTTGAAGGGGAACTGATACTCTTTACCCTGCCAGGTGAGAGATGGGAAAGGGACTACAAGGAGGGCGACAGCTGGAAGGAAGGCAGCCACAGGCAAGAGGTGACGATGCCAACCAGTGTTTGTGAGTTGTGGAGAATCCCTGCAGAACGGCGATCTCTTTAGCTTTGTAGGGACTACTGTTGCTCATGTTCCTGCTCTGCCATACGCTCTCCAGTTTAATGCTTGTATTCTTGTATTCATGTTGTACTTACTGATATTTCTATTATGCATTTCTTTACCAACACTTTTGCTCTTGGTACATGTAATTGTTGCTTTTTGTTTTTGAACTATTGCCATATTTACTGCTGTTTGTTGTAAATTATATCTTCTGCTGTGCATTGTTTAAGCTATGTGAGCCATTTGGGGCACAGTATTATGGGAAAACAGAATACAAACGAAGAAATGAGATGAGGGGCAATCTGGAGCATGTCCTTCCACAGCACTGCAGCAAGCACTGAGTCAGAGTAGTAGCTGGTTGGCATTTGGCTATCTCCTGAGCCTTGTATTCACGCCGTACTCTTAAGTCCCTTGTCTACACCTAGTCCAGCATTCACTGTTGCTTGTAACTAAGGGTATAATGCCCCTGAAAATGGAGGCTCAATTTAGCCATTACAACTGATAGGCAGGACATCCATGGGTGGAACTGGATAGAGCCAGTCAGAGAAGTTTTGGGAAGTTGGGAAGGCTTTTGAGGAGACACCAGCTGCCACTGACCACCCCCTGCACCTTCCCACTTCAAGGACAAACACCCGCCTGCTGAGGTGAGGCAGAATCGAAAGAGCCACAGTGCAGCTGAAAGGAACATTTCTAGCCAAGCTTGTAAGACGTGCCTGAAAGGTTTGGCACCCAGCCCAATTTCTTATTCTAAGCAGCAACCCTGTTTGAAGTTATCAGAAGTTGAGATATTGTTTCAGGAACAAGAGTGCACAGCTATCAAGCACTGCAGGATGCAGAATATCTACGAGTCAAGTGAATGAGAATCAGCAACAGGGCATACCTTCCACGTCACAGGATTTAAGAGGACTCCATTTTAAAATGATTGTATAAAGTCATTTAGCAGTATCTGTTAGGAATATTCCTATCTATCTATCTATCTATCTATCTATCTGGTACCTTTAGAACCATCTCTCTTCCAAGGTATGCATGTTCCTCCTCCTCCTCTCCATTTTATTTCACAACAGCCCTGGGAGGTAGGTGAGGCTGAGAGTCAGCAACTAGCTCACAGTCACCCAGTGAGGTTTATGGCTGAATGGAGACTGGAACCCTGCTCTGCTAGGTCCCCGTCCAACAGTCCAAAAGCCTTTGCATATTCTAGGACTGTGGGTGTTCTGCAGCCATTGTTGCATGGTACCATTTGTCACTCATATACACCAAAGACAGTGGGTCCAACTGCTAATACATGGAATTTGAATTAATTTTAGGAGGTGGTGGGTGCAACATCAGGCCCGGTCTACACATTCAAAAGAATAAGGAATAGAAAGCACCACAGAATTTCAGATAAGAATGGCATTTTAAAAAATGTTCTATGACAAACATTTCTAAGCAAGGCAAAAAAAAAAAAAAAAAAAAGAGCATACCTGTGAGGATTGACCGACTGTCTCTCTCCCAGATATCCTAGTTTTTCATTTGCAGGAATTATTTAAATAAGGGGAACATTTAAAAAGACAAGGCCACCACCCTGGAATCTAAAATGCATTGGTTTGTTCTATAGTAGAGCTGCAGGACCTCAGGCTGAGATAGGGAAATCTGGTACTCTGAGGGTCCCAATCAGACTCTCTGGGGTTCCTTCCTTCCCCTGGCCCACCAACTTTTCTCCACCACGTGGTGCTTTTCCAGCATTTGTGCCATTTTGCCTTTGCCCCTCACCACTGGAATGAAGCCCACAAGAGCTTCCCTGAAACTGTATTTGGCCATGGGCTGAAAGATTCCTTTCTGTTGTACAAGGTCATATCTCCATCATTGTTCTGCAAGATTGTCCTAACCTAGAAGAGTGGCAGGCACACTTCTTTTCCCTGTCAAGCCCAACTGCCGTCAGCATGATGACTGTGAACACTGACAGCCTAAGCAGCTGGTGTGCCAAAGCCAATCTCCTATTCCCTTAGACCCAGGCTAGTGACAACAAGGAGCTGCTCTGTAGCACAGCCTCTTAGTGTCGTCATCAGTTAGTCAGAGAAGAGAGTGAAGAGAGCAGGTTACCGCTAAAATATCATCAAGCAGCCTGGAAAGCAGAGTTAGTAAGCTGGTTAAAAATCCAGCTTGTTTAGTAGCGGCAGCTGTTAAGAGAACCTCAGATATGTTCATTATCATAAAGAAGAAAGAAATCATGAAATACAGCCTCTGCAAACACATTGCTTTCTGGTCAAGGCACAGGTTAGTCTGGCCAGCTGTTATTAAGAGGCTTCACAGTAAAAAGTCCTGTTTTCCCCCTTTAAAAATAGCTGTATGTATTTAGCTCAGATATTTCACACTGTTACACAATGCTCAGCATACCGTCTTACAATTTCTTTGTTTCCAGCTTATTCCTCACAGTTTCCAAAAATCATTTTATAAGGTTTGCAGATTAGCTGACTTACAGATACATCATACGCACATTTTGCTAGGCAAGAGACTAATTTTAAAATATCTGATAGATACTACCAGTTCAGTCTGTCCATGCACTGAAAAATCAGTTTCTGGGTTCTGTTGCATCCCTAACATGGCCCAAAAACCAAAACAATAAGTGGAACTATGCCCAAAGAGGCATACTTGGTTCTCATGTCTCCCATTAAGTTGTATGGGACTAAACAAATGGGTTACAATCGGAGTAACAATTAAAAGGGGGCAGAGAGAGGAAAGACAGACATCACCAGGGCAAAGAAACAGTCACACCTCAAGGACCTCATTTTTGTACCATCAAACACATCTCTTTACTTTCTCCCATATAACTGAATGGTCACCATTCATTCCTATGAGGAGAAAACAGAGCTCAGCAGTTGGGAGGTGATCTCCTCCTCCTCTCCACGGAGACAACACATGTGCGCACATATTGTGCTTTTCCTAAGGGTTCCTGCTACATACAGAAACACTCCTCCATTTATAACCAGACCATTAGAATGGTCTGCAACTTACTACCAAAACAAATCAATAGGCATTCATTAGAGGGATCAGGACATGAAGGCTCTTTGGCTTCCCAGTATTTGCTCTCATTTTAGTGAACTGCAAACAAGGACAAAGATCAAACCAAGAACAGATAAGCAATATATAAGGCATGATTCTGCATCCTCAGCGCAATCAGGGAGGGTAACTTACAGATGATAAGGCATTCTTTAATCCAACTATTTGTGCCGATGGTGACGAGGCTGAATCATGTTCCAACATCTGCTTCAACTTCTCTCTTTCTGTGGAGATCATACTAAAAGCCGACTTTAAGGTAAAGTACACTATAAAAACAGTGCAGAAATTGTCTCAGTTACAGAAATGACATAATCTGGAGGGCAAAATGTAGAACAATTCTATGCAATGCAGTGGAGACGAACACAGTATGGCAAAGAACAAGAGTAAACTTTTGGTCGTTTTTATAGAGGACTGTTCTATATTTTTTTTAGTGATGGGCTTTTTTAAACTTAGGAAGTGAAATTAATTAACATTCATTAAAAAGGAATAGGCTGATCTATAATCTCTCTTCTGGTTCTGTTGCTGTTATACTTATTTTGAATAAAGTCTTAGCTGACACTGTTTGGATAAGCTGGGAAACAGCCAAGGCAGCTGGCTCATAAATCAAAATGATTCATTCACCATGACAGTGCGTACAATCCGTTTAGCAAATATATACAAAAGGTTGGATCCTGCTTTAGTAATACTTAGGAGACCCACTGAAATCAGTAGCACTTACATTAGACAAAGTCTAAGCCATAACTAATTCAAGTCCCATGACTAGATCTACTGTAAGTAAAACTAAATACTTAAGAGTAGTTCCCTTTCAAAGTTCCCCTCTAAGATCCCCTGTGGCCTTTTGCATTGCACTTGAGCACAAAATCATTTGCCTCCACAGCAAAGTTGACACTGTTGTTAGTGCAGCTCCAGTTGAGGTGCCTGGCACTGCCATCATCCCAACTTTGTGGGTTCAGTCCCAGTGGCTGCAGCCTGAAAACACGGACAAGGTGCTTGGAGCAATGGCACTAACCACATGCCCACTCAACCCTGATTCCTCTTGGCTAACAAAGCAAGCCGAGGCTGGCTTGGCTACATCCAGGAGAAGTTCATGCACCTCTGCATGAAAGGACGGATCCGACTGTTCTTAGGGAAGCAGCAGTGCAACTGCTCCAGAGGAAAACCATCTGTTCCCAACGATACTCAACAACTAATGCCCAGTTGCAGATTCCCCTTTCCCAGGCTGAGACAGAGCAACTGCAGGCATTCTTGACTATATACCCCATTCCTTGGGGGGACCTGGGTATCTAAGGAGCACCTGCATCCATACTTGCCCTCCCTCCCCCTAAGATCAGTGGCAGAGGCCCTTCTCTGGGAACCCTCCATGAAAGATATTAGGAGGGTGAGTACCTGGAGGAGGGTCTTCTCTGCAGTGGCGCCCCACTTAAGGAATGCGCTCCCCAGAAAGGTCTGCCTGGCACCGTCGTTATTTGTTTTTTGGTGCCAGGCCAAGACCTTCTTACTTAAACATTATTTTAATTAATTGTTAATTTATTTATTGGTTTTATTTATTGCCTGGATGTGTCCAATTTTTATATTTTTGTATTGTTATTTATTTGTTGGAAGCTGCCCCGAGGCTTATGCGAATGGGGCTGCATACAAGTATCCCAAATAAATAAATAAATAAATAAATTCCAGTCTGACTGTCAGCCTGGTTACAGTACTAAACCAGTCTTGGTCACAGTGATGGATGATCTTTACTGAGAATAGGTTAGGGTAAATAATTCATGTAAATAAAAATAAATCTGGATCTAGCCTAAGAGTTCAGAGGTTGTTGTGTGAGCTTAGATCAAGTGGTCTCATTTATCAAGCTTAATTTCTACCCAGTATGTCTTAGTTGCAAGGCATAATTCTTAGATTCAAGTGGCAAAATGCATAATACAAACAAATTTATGGTAACCATTGCCTAAGGCACACAATGCAATTTTGGAGGAAAAATATTTTTCTTTTCATGATCTTACTTCAGCCTTATACAACAAACTGCGTGCAAGCAAATGTATGGGCTGGCAGAGGAGAGGCAGAGCATTCCGTTCCACCAGACTGCTTGGCTTCCATGTTGCCTGTGCAGGAAAGGCAGCTGCTTCCAACATGACCAGCATGGACATGTACCAGGTGGCTCCAATCCTCCTCTGTCAACCCATATGGTAAAAGGCAGTTGTTTTACTGGCAGTGTGGAGATGCAGCCTATTCACCTCTTAGCATATTGACACAGAAGATGCAGATATATCACAGGCTAGTGGCTTTTGGGAACTTATTTAAGATTTCCAATTTATTTAACAGCATTTGTATACTGGATTAGAATGATATACACGAATGATCCCATTTTATTTTCTGTGGAGTAGACTGAATTGAGGAATTGCAACTTGTTCTGGCTTCCACAGTGAGCTACATGACTAAGAGGAGATTTGAACCAGGGAGAACACTGGCCACTTCACTCAGCCATCCCCAATATGATGCCCCTCTGATGTTTAGGACTGCAACTCCCATCATTCCCAACCAGCATGGGCAATGCTACACTAAATCACTTGTGCTCCCAACCCTTTGTGACCATAAGCACCTGAACTTAGTTTTAAAGAATTGATCTGAGTGCATTTTTATTCTAGAAAAACAAAATATGGATCAACAGGAAGTCAGGAAATCAAAGCTAATAATTAGGCTAACTATTTATATCTCATTTATTTATCCAGCAGGGATGGGAATTGTATGACCGCCAAATGTTTCTGGCTGGAACTTGAATTCTCCCTCACCATGAGCTAAGCTAGCTAGGGCTAATGGGAGTTGCAATCTAAGGGCCTCACTTTGCGCATTTATGCATCGGGTGGTACCTTCAAACATCAGGGCCATGACAAGCCATGACACACCATGCTGAGAATAAGTCACTGCGGGTGGCTTGCTTGCTTGTCAACCCACGTTACTCCTGACTGATGACTGGGTACACTGTGACTTGTTTAGTCTCCCACCTGCTTCTAGCATGTACCCCACAGACTCATCCCTATAGAGGGAAACCTTTCTGGCTCCCTGCCCCATTCCAGCCATTGTCCCCTTTCAGTGCAACCAATACTACTGGGCATTGTACCTAGCGGACAGAAGAAGTTGTCCACTTCTGATGGACAGGGGAAAAGTTTATGAACACATCTGTGTATTTTTGAAGCAGCAAAACTATATTTAAGTGATAAATGCATTCAGGACATTCTCATGTGTCATTTCCATATTAGTGGAAAGGCAGACATCACCAAGGAGGGATTTTGGAGGTCGCATGAGCCAAATGGTGAGGCATGGCTGGGTTTTCTTTCACTCTTGGCAGCCAGCGCTGCAGCCACTTGGGATGAGCTCAGTATGGACATCGCAATAAGCCATATGAGAACAAGCCACCATAAGTAATCCAACAGCAAGCCATGGCTTCTCACTGTGGCTTGTGCCAGGTTGACAAAGCGCACTGAAGCATCAGTGCCGGGTTCAGACATCACAATAAGTGATGCTGAACCAAACAAGTCTCACAATCCACCATGACTTATTGCGTCCTGGAAATCCAGTTATAGTTGTCCATGAAAAAATGCTCACATGCATGGATCACCATTAAGTGAATGAGTCGTTAGATCATCATCCAGAAGCACCACTGGCTGGTGTTACTTATTTCCTGGTACATGGCTAGGATGGCACATCAAGTATGATTTTTACTCAACATCTGACACACCATCACTGCAAGATACCAGCAAACAAGTAACACCAGCTAATGGTATATCTGTGTAGCTCATCCCATTCACTTAATGCAGCTCTCCCAAGCCTGGAGGCTGTGGGGTTATGGGAGGGGAAGGAGAACTTCATGATAGTCTGATCACAGAGACACTTTCTGCCCTGTGATTCTGATGTTGCATCATCAGAGTCACTACCCAGTGCAGAGATGGGGGATGGCTGGCTCTCCAGCTGGCCTTGGACTGCACCTCTCATCAGCCACTGCCATGCAGGATCATGAGCGCTGCAGTCCAACCAAGAGTCCTGGGCCAGCCTGTGACAGCTTCAAGTCTTCCTGTGATTAGGAGAAAGTGGATCATTTCCAAGAAAGAGAAACTACAAATATGGGCTGTGGGGTGAGGACATGATACAGAGAGCTATTGCTCAGTAGCAAGGTCTGAGCTGAACAAAGGCCTTTTCCTCTGGATGTATAATGAAGCAATAATTATGCTCGGATACAAGCTACATCAGCATTGTTTCACCCCCTAAAATTGTTATGTGTGTCGAGTCTGAGAAAAGTTTGACCTAAAAGGATGATTCATTCTGATTTAAAAGAGCAGAAAAAGTCAGTGTTTTGCCTACAAAGGAAACAGAGATTATTCAAGGCAGGGGGCTGGAGGATCATCACTTTAATAAAATGCTTTAAATTTTTTTCCTGTTTATCAATGTTGTGTGTAAATTATTTGAATAAATGAATTACAAAGTTTGCTTTCTCCAGTGTAGCTTAGAACACTGCTAAAAATGAATAGAGATGAGCAGAATTGCTGGCGGAAATGCTGAACAACTGGTGTATTTATTTATTTTGCAAAAGGATAACTAGTATAATGCTGTATTTATTTATTTTGCAAAAGGATAACTAGTGCCTGTTTGAGTTGGCTGTCTAGCTCTCTAAAATGAATTTTGTCTCTTTCCTGTACACTAAAAATAGGTTAGTACCATAGCAACCCCTTTACATCACAAATGCCAACTCTGAAATTCAGCAAGCTACTTGGAGCTTGTGTACATATAAACCAGATGCAATCTACTGCTGCATTTTTAGGTAAAGATTTTAATGAATGCCTTAAAAAAAAAAGAACACAAAGCCTTGCTTTCACAATGATAGTCTAGATGAAATTGGCTTGCCACAAAGACTCATAGGCTTTTTGTTAAGAAAAGAAAAGAATGCCAGATAAAGGAAGTACGATGATAAAGTTTAAGCTACAGATCAGCATTCTTTTCTAGGTGAATAGGAGAATCTAGCTATATACATAAATTATGCATTTATTCAGATGAGGCGGTAACAGTAAGAAAGGGTAACTTAAGTGGCTTAAAAGTAGTCACTTAAAAGTAAGCCAAAGTAAGTATAAAATCACTTTTATATACTTTGATAATACCTTCATTTTGGGGAGAAGGAGAGACATATTCGAGCCAACACCCACAAAACACACACAGTTGGATCTGGACTGAAGAATAGCATCCTGAAATCAGTGGGCCTTGAATTCCAACTAGCTTAAGAGCTACTTAAATCAATGGGTCTACTCTAAGTATGACTCTGGCTAAACAGGCATACACCAACATTTCACTGGATTTTTCCAATAGCTGCCATACTTTTTATTTCAGTTAGAGGGAAATAAAACCCAATTTACCTTTGTGTGCTATGTGGCACAAGTCTTCTTGCATTTTAGAAAATTCTGATGTTGTTTCAGAACCATTCGAGTAAATTTTTTCTTCAGCAAAATCTAATGTAGATAAATTCGGATTGGAAGCATGGAGTCTCAATGGAGCAGAGATAACAGTGGGTACCTACAAAGGACATACACCAGGTTCTGACATTAATACAAAAAATCTCAAGTTGCAGGATTTAACATTGAGATCTTAAGCACACTATTACTACTAGCAAATCCAAAGAGAACAGTTTATACAGCTTCGGCTTGTCGCTTACCCAAAATATTAGCTGAGGGTCAGTAAGTTCCTCCAACAACCTAGCCCTGTTCTTTTTGTGGGCCTAACCCCATCCCATGTGTGTTCTGTACTATACCTAGCAAACCGTTAGCATAAAATTAACTTGTGTAAGTGCTGTTGCATTTCCATTGGAATTGCCATTGCATGACCAACCATGGAGAACGGTTTAAGGCCCCAAATACTTTGCAACTGTAATTAATTAATTGTGATTACAGTCATTTAACCCATGTTTAACTCAGTGTCCCCTTCTGCTACCGCCTCCTTGCTCTGCTCAGCTTTCCTCTTCGCTACTCCCACTGAGCTTCCTGCCCCAGCTCAAAAACTCCCCCACAATTTGGGGAGGCAGCTACTTATCTGTCACTCACCTGAAAGGTTGTGCTCCAGCTCCTCATTAAATGTTTTGCTGAATCCAGGGGACTGGGAGTGTGGGTAAAGAAAAGGTAGGGGGCGGGATTGCTACGCTGGAGCACGGAAATAGTGAAAGCACATTGGGCAGTATATTAGGGGTGGGCATTTGACCGGTCAAAGAGAAAAACAAAACAAAAAATGGTCAATTGACTGGCCAAATAACATGCAAGCATTCAATGTGTTAGTATTCTTCAGAGGAGTAACAAAGAACCAACAGAACCAGGCAACTTCCAGAAACAGCTACTAGAGGGCTCCCAAGTCTCTCCCAAAAGCTTTACAGAGCCCTGAGCCAGAACACATGGCCTTCTTTCCCATGTGCTCCACACAGTGGCCGCCTTGAATTTGGGGCAACTTTGACCTTTGCCCTCTTTGGCTTGCACGTTCCTGACAGGCAGCCTGGCACAGACTGAGAAGAGCTTTAGGCTCTCTTTTGCCCTTCCTGGTACATCTTCATCCATCCAGGAGATTCCTCCCCACAAGCGTACCTTGCAAAATAGTGCCAGACACCCGTGTTTTCCCCTTTGGCTTTGGGATGAAGCAGGAAGTGCAGCACAAAAATTCAAAGTACAGGCACGTACCAGTACAAATAAGCCATACTGGGTCTTAGTACATATTGGGTGTTCTGAGACAGCGCACACACATACATGTGCAAACACAGCCGGACTGGTTATTATGTTCTGTCTTTGCATTCTCAGGCAGGAGTGCAGAAGATTTTTGGGTGGGGGATCTACCAGGCCCTCCACAGGCCAGATGGTGATGAGAGCCACTGCAGCATGGTGGTTAAGAGTGCAGGACTGGGATGCAGGAGATCTTGGTTCTAGTCTCCACTCAGCCATGGAGCCAACTGGGTGTCTTTGGGCCAGTCACAGACTCTCGGCCCTCACTCCAACCTCACAGGGTTGTTGTGAGGATAAAATGGACAGGAAGAGAATTACATAAGCTGCCCTGAGTTTGTTGAAAGGAAAAAGGGCATTATATAAATATAATAAATAAATAAGATGGTGCCCTTGTGCATGAGCATGTCCACGGATGCCACCACTTTACCCCTGCCTACTTCGCATTTTTCAATGCTGGGAGAAGCCTCTCCCAGCATGGAAAAAGGCATTTGGACTTTGCTGCCAGCATCCACCAAGTCCCCCCTGCACACATCCCTAGCATCTTTTGTGTTGGTTAACTTAGAAGAGTCCTGCATGGCTGCATATGGATAACTCTTGCCTTTGGTATCCAATGGTCCCATGAAGCAATACCAGAGGCAAAGAGGCTACTTACTCAAGGTTGCTCTTGCGCCTGTGAAAGATTTGACCACAATCAAATAATAATGTCTGGCCAGTCAATTGACCAGTACCTCAGCGTTACAGCATGTGTACAACTCTGCCTTAATTTGGGCCAGACTGGCACTAGTTTCGTCAGTCTTCCCCAGAATAGCAGCTCTTTTCCATGGCTTCACCCAGAGATTTTTCCCAGACTCCCTTGGTGCTGGCTTGAGAAATTATGCGTGCAAGTGATATGCTCTGCCACTGTGTTGCCCCTCGCCTAGCCCTTCAGCGCCTATAAATGCAGCCACCCACATAAACTTGCACTCTCCATTTGGCATAAAACCAAATGAAGATAAATGTTGTTTATTGCGCTGTTATAAGTGGAATGGATGAAAGGCCCAATAGACTAATAAAACACCCTCTGCTGATACTCGATGCTGCTTACACCAGCAGAATGAAATCACCATCTGTCACAGACCCCAGAGATCAGGGCTCTCAATTATACCGAAGAAAACTGACAACTATAGTGTATTTTAGGCTAAAGCAGGGAAAAGCAAAGAGACTGATTACCTGTAACATTCCCTTAGCATCTTTACCGAGAGCTCGGGAACGCCACCTTCTGTGTGTTCTTTTTTCCTTTTTAGGACTTTCAAAAGGGATGCCCTTTAGAATAGCACACAGGAAAGAGAAAAGTGCCATTTATCACCAATCTAGAAAGAGAGCTAATGTGAACTAGCAGCATGAAGCACCAGAGGCTGCAATCTGCACAACTCACCTGCATGGCGTTTATGGCAGGTGCTGAATACGTCCTGTGGAGAACTTCCATGCTTTGTAAAAGCTGGCTCATCTCCAAGAGATAGTTATGACAGTGGGAGAGGTCTGTTTGGCATAAAGAAATGGTTCAGCATCTTTGTAAAAATAGAAAAAGAGAAAGGAAGGAAAAGAGAAAAAGCAAGACAGCACACAGATACAGACAATAAACCCCACAGCACAACTTTTGAAATAATTTGGTACCAGATTGTTCTGTTACATGATGTAAAGAATGCGAATGACAATCTGATATACTCAATCCTTGTTTATTTGTTCAAACAAATATTGTAAGTGATTGTTATTAAATGGTATCCATCATGCTAGGATTTTGGCAGTTTTATGAGGAGTGAAAACATACCAATTTGGAAGATGTATTTCTAAAATATGATCTGTGCTTAAAAGAAGTTATATTATACTTTGGGAGCAGAAAAAACAGGGCTTCCTGACATCTTTGAACATAATCATTTTATTTCTTACTGTAAATTTCAACTTGATGCAAATGCGTACTTTATCTTTGGCATGAAAATGCCACCTACTAAAGTTATTGTCATTGTAATTATTGGTTGCCTCAAGGGACTGATGATATTATCCAACTCTTAATATATATCTGAGTCAGTGCTTTCTTACAATAACTGGGGGAAAACACTAATCAAAACTGAAATAGTAACATTAAGCAATGTATTCTGGTGGTTAGAGTGCTGGACACTAGCCATGTACGGATATATGAGGAATCTGTCTGGGAGTGGGAATCTGCTAAATTCCCTGGCTTGGATCCAGCCCACTCGCTTATGGCTATGAGTCCAATGTCCTGGTAGGCACACAAAGGGTTTGTGTGAGTGCCCAGCAAGAAGCAAGGCTGTGCAAACACTGTGCAAGTGGCATCCACACTTGTGGCCTTCGTTCATGCTGCACATGTTGCAGAAGAAGGCTGCTGGTTGTGCATCTGGATTCTGCAGGCAGCTGAAGACTTCCTCTCGGCTCAGCATGTTTCCTACGTGAGGGCTGAGCACAAAAAGAAGCCCACTGGAAAGCCCAAGAGGGCTGGATTCCAGGTTCTAGTCCACATTTGGCCATGGAACTCTCTGGCTGACTTTGGGCCAGATACAGACACTGAACATAGCTTACCTCACAGGGTTGTTGCTGTGAGGATAAAATGGAGTGAAGGAGAACTACCACTTGGGTTCCTCACAAGAGGAACAAGGTGATATAAAAGGAAGGGAGGGATGGAAAAAAGCCGAGAGAAGGTGCTTCATCTAAACTAGGTTATGGGGTTTAGATCATTGCTCAGTGTTCTAGAACAGTTAAATCTATCCACATATGCACCTCATTAGAAAATAGCTTTCTTCAAATGGGTTAGGAGTGAAGAGTTCAGAGGTAGTTCACACATGTAACCTATATATATCACCACTGCTTTAACAAAAAAGATAATCTTCTGAGTGCAGAAGGGAAGATATCTATAATAATTCAAGTATGCCTGTAAGTCTGTCTGTCCATCCTGTAACTCCAAGCTTTTAAAACAAAGATTAGTGAAATTTAGAATGGATCCTAAGGGGGCTAGAGGGATGTTCACCTTAAAGAGTATTTGTCTTAAAAAGGCATTAATTCATTTTAAATTTCAATAAATTGAAGCGAGTCCATGTATTTGAAGTTTGCAGTGCCACTTTTGGTCACTTCCCTAATAATGCATAGCTTTGGCGCTGATACACACAGAAGCTGGGCTAAAATAGGCTGCCCTTCTCCACAGCTATGGGGCAAAGCCCTTCAGGAAAGGAGAACAAAAACCCTCAGAGCTGCACCACATCAGAAACTGTGTACCTGAACTTCAATCATCTATACTTAGAAAAAGAAGAAAAGCAAAGCCATGCTGGATCAGAGGTCCATTCAGTCAAGCACTGTGTTCACACAGTGGCAAACCAGCTGCCCACCAGATCCCTCAAGCAGGGTAAGTACAACAGCTCTCTCCTGCCCAAGCTCTCCAGCAACTGGTGTACACAGGCACCGCACCTTTGGTATGAAAGTAGCATATAATTGTCCAGGAAAGTAGCCATTCATAATCTTTTCCTCCATGAATTGGCCCAATCTGCTTTTAAAGCAGGCCAAATTGGTAGCCATCACTACTCCTATAGCACTGAATCGCACAATTTAACTACAAGCTGTGGGAGGTACCTACTTTTATTCATCCTGAATCTCCCATCAATCAACTTCATGGGAATATTCCAGATACTACTATTATAGGAAAGCGAGAAAATATCTACCAGTCCATTTTTCCACACCATGTACAATTCTGAACACCTTTTTCTAAGATAAAAAAACTTTTATAACCATTCCTTAAAGGAAGGCTGCTCTAATCTAATGCCTTGATAGTTTTAGTTGCCCTTCTCTGCACTTTTTCCAAATCAATAATATTCTTTTTCAGGTGTGGTGACCAGAACTGTACACCGGATGTAAGTATGGCTGGACCAAAGACTTGCATAACGGGGGGGGGGGGGTTATGGCCTCTGCAGTTTTATTTTCAATTGCTTTCCTAATTGTACCTAACATGAAATCTGCTTTTTTTCACAGCAGGCTGGGTTGAAGTTTTCATCAAGCTGTCAACTATAACTCCAAGGTCCCCTTCTTGATCAGTCTCTGTCAGTTCAGATCCCATCAACCTATACCTGAAGTTGGGATGTTTAAAGCTGAATCAGTTGTTCAAACTGGTGACTCGTTCTTGAGTTGGGGAGGAAGAGAAGCACATTCAACCCCAATGCCTCATGAAGTATCCAGCTACAAATGTTTTCTTTAAAGTTTTTATTTCTGACATTATATGGTGAACATTGCACATGGACAGCTGTGTCACAGGGAACTGGGTAAAACAAAACACAAAACGAAAACAACTTAATCATTTGGATGCCTTCTAGGAAAAAGAATACCTTTGGAGCATCTTTCCATATCGTCAGAAGACTGCAGCCAAGATGGAATCCTTGATTCATTGCTTGAACAGGGGAATGATAAAGAACTTCCAGTCTGCACTGAATTTTGTTGTGTCATGCTGCCTCTCTGTTCCATAGATACAAGACCTTATTAGCAACAAAAGTATTTCACTGAAGGGAAAAAATCATGTGTTGCTTGTTCAAACAGGGTCAAAATCACTTAAAAGTAATTTATTTTTACCCTATTAGTGTTCTCCAATCACCCCAGTGACCAATTGGGTTTTTTAATGTTTTTATTTCCCTGTTTTAGGCATCTGCAAGAAGGTTTTTTGTGGAAGGGTCTAGGGCTGTGAAAATGACCCACAGACCTCCCAGGGTTATCCATCTGTACTATATACAGTGATAAGATTAAATTAATCTCAGAGGAAAGCCCATGGACAGTCATTAACATGGGGACCTACTTTTTTGCTTGCTGAGGATTCCAAAAGACCAGTGATGGATTCTGTAACAGATGATGATGTGGGGAAGAAATGATTGCTGATATCATGTGGAAACATGGAAATTTCATTTTGACGGTACATTCTGTGATGGCGTAGCTTTGCTACCCATTCATCAAAGACTTCCTGAGATTTTGCCTAGAAGAAAATAAAATGTATAATGTATTCTTCAGTGCTGAACACTTTGGTTTCAAAGTCTCATTTCTCTCTTCTCATTTAAGTCAACCTGCTTAATTAAGGAATTAAGGAATACATCTTCATTAAGGAATATATCTACCCAAGTGTTCCTGTAGAGTCCTGATCTAGAGGATGTAGGTTTTGCTGCGGCAGAGAAAGTGGAAGGTTCTAGTGATGCTCTGGGGACTCATTTCTACTTTTCATACAAGTGACAGATGATTGGGACTTGGGAATGGAAGAAAGGCAGTGCCTACAAAACGATGCTCTGAAAAACATCAGCTTGGCACAGGAAAACTGCAGCACAAAGGGGCAGATGTGGACCAGATATAAGCCACAGAGGACAGGAAGCGATTCAGAGATCAGCTTTTTCTTTGCCTTGAAGAAGGATTTTTAACATGTTCCAAGTGGCCAATCAGGCCAGCAAAGCAAGGACAGAGTAGTGACTGACTCAGTGCTCTAATTCCAGCAGTTCCTCTTGAATGTCTTTTGGAGTTCCAGTATACATAAATAGAAGTCTGATTAATTCTGGTCTGAAGTTCTTATCTAGAGGCTGGCATCTCAAGCTTAATCTTAACACAAAATCTCAAATGCAGCCCTTGAGGCACCACAAAATCCCTATTCTATTCACCTCTAGCCCAAAACCAGTTTGAGAACTGGAGTCCTAAACCATGGAATGTTAAACAAAAAGCCCGAGCTAAAGGAACAGCTGATATACTATCCCAAAGAGCTGCTCTGATCAACCGACTTAAAAGAAAACTGCACAAACCCAAATACTGGGCACATAAAAATCAAAGCTAAAACCTCAGAAGCTTTGCATCAAGCATTTAAAGTCAAACCTGGCAGTATCTTGGAAACCAGTCTTTGGAAAAGCATGATCAGCAGTGATTTTTCTTATTTACTTGCACTCTACAGAGGGCAAAGGGTTTCTAGTTCACTGTACAATGTTTGCTCTGAAGATTAAACAGATTTTCCATCGTTCCAATTTTCTGATACACTATACTATATTACTTTACACTTGACGGCACTCGTCTTTTCAAGCAGAGCAGGAAACAATTGTGCAAAATCATACTATTTCATACTAAAACGTATATTAGGAAACATCCACCAATCAGTAACAAATCTACGATATAATTCATTCATTGCTTTAAGTACACTGAGTATTAAAAGCATACTAAGCAGTAAAACTATGCTCATCTATTTCCTCTCAATCTTTCTTTCCATGCAAAGGAACTCAGTTATTATGTTTATATGTGACACACTGAATCCAAATTTAGAGTAGGATTTATTTATCTTTAAACATATGTGTTTACTTCATCAAAATAACTTCAACAATATAAATAACTTCAAATGTTACTAATACAGGCTGTATCCGATGGCAACGTCCTTTGTTAAGCAAGAAGATAAATGCAAAGCAGAAACTACCATTAAACTTAGTAAATCAAGCATATATAGCAGATTCAACAGGTTTCTGAGCATACACAAAGGTGTTGTTCATTTACCTTTTGCAGCTAACTTGAGTCCCGCACTGAGTAGGGTGCTGGACCTGATGGCCTTCTTGGCCCCTTCCACCTCAACTATTCTACGGTGCTATGATTCTATAAAACCCCACTACATTATTACTTAAATAGAATTACCTTTAAATGGTAAATGTGTTCTTCAGTATCCAAATCTATACATTTCGTTGATTTCTTTACAGACATCACCGAAAGCCCAACGTCTATACACCCATGCAGCTTCCCTCTCTCTATCTGCCAAGAGACATTTAAAACTGATTATTTAAAGTCAAGGACAGAACACCAGAAGATGTCAATTTCCATAATTACCTCTTTGTGCCTATTGATGTCTGGCTTGGAAACCATCACTTCCTTCTGCTATCAAAATATAAGTCATCATAAGTTAAACTGTAAAATGACATTTGAGCAATATGCAATACTTACGTCAGCCGGACTTTTGGCATACTTCAGAATTCCCTTGTCCAGAAAGAACCATCTCTGGAATACAGAAAGCAACTCTTTTAAGCGACAACATTGTTGTGATTTTTTTTTCTTTTTAAGAAGAGCTCCAATATTCCCTCCCACAACCTTTTAACAAGAACACCAGGCTGAGTGACTCACCTTGTGCCAGCCTTTCAGAGGCCATTTCCTTTTCTTCAGCAAGAAGCCTTCCTGTTTCTGTGGTTCCTGGGTGTAATTCATGGCTCCCCGTAATCCTTCTACAATTTCCCAGCTGTCCTGTTTGGAAATAAGTTGAAGATGAGTGATGAATTTCAATTTGTGAAGTGAAAGGGTGAACTGAAAAGTAACATAAAAAAAAAAGTCCCAGATCAGAACAGGTCCAATTCTCTGCCTAAGTGATGTGAGCTATTGGATGTGTAGATGGCAGCCCCTCCAGGCTCTTGGCTTCAACAGAGCTATTTTGCTGTAAGTGGGCTGAATCAGGGTGGTATAAGAACATAAGGAATACCATTCTGGGTCAGACTAGGGCCTTATGAGGCTCTGTAAGGAATGGAAAACGTTCACAACAATCTAGTAGAAATTCAACCCGGGATTCAGCTCTTCTACACTAATCAGCAAAAGAATAAATCAGAAGGCTTCTAGCATGTTGCTGGAGCCCTGGGTAGATGAAATCTATGGCTGGAGAGACCACTGCACTGGTTCCAACCCAAGGGACTGATTGCTGTAGGGATGCTGTAAAAGCTGTTTTGGGAACAAAATAGAACAGAGTAGGGTCTTGCCAAAATGTAGTTGATGGGAGAATTCTAGTTCTACCTATTCAGAATATTGTTCCAAAAATTTAAGCAGTCTTACCAAAATTTAGAATGCTGTTGTCATATACATGACAGTTTACTCAGAAAACGTTTACTGTTTTCAGTGCCATAACAATGAACATTACATATCTCACGATCCTGCAAGACAGTCATACTAAATCACCACTTGTAATCTCATCCATTCTTACAATATTTGATATTTTGTGCCAAGAATATCCTTCTAAATGTTTAGACATTTACTACCTATATCCCTTAGGATCAGATGCAACAGAAACGTCAAACCCAAGATTTAATCTTGCTGCAAATGTAATAGTCATAGACAAGAAGGACATTTAGGAATTTCAAAACTTGTAAGGATGTGACTATAAAATCCAGGTGTGACAAACATTAACATTCTAATTGAAAGTGAGAAAATGATGGACAAAGGGAGATACAGATCACATTTCCAATTGCCAGCATAAGTTTCCTGTGAAAATTGTTAGAAACTGGACCTTGGCATTGCTCCTTTCCCACCCAACAATGACTAGAGGCATCAGAAGCAAGGCAAATTAGGACAACTTCTTTCTTTACTCTTTGATTAAATATGTATTCACATTTAATTCCAACTTTTTCCTGCAAGGAACCCAAGGTGGCTTTGCACAATCCACTCCTCCTCCTCATCCTCCTCCAATCTATCCTTACAACAACCCTGTGAGGTTGGTTAGGCTGAGAGCCATGAATTTCACCCAGTGAGCTTGAGGGGTAAGTGGGGACTAGAAGCCAGAATTTTTGAATCCCAGTTCAGCACTCTAGCCACTAGTCCACATTGGCTCTCTCAAGTACATGTACAATACTCATAGGAGGGCTATTCTTTTAATGCATTCATAGAACATGTAAGAGCACATCCTTCCTCTTTCCTGAATCAATTAATCTTCTGCCAAACTAACACTCCCATCTAGATGCAAGGAGATATTTGTTGCGATTATTTTGGAAATGAGACAAAATGCATGACAGGCAATAGGAAGAATTTGCATGTATCACAGGAAAGAGGGATAGCAGCTTTGACAGGTCATGACTGCACCTGAATTGGAAACAGCGAGGCCAGAGATAATTCCTCTCAGCCACCTGTCCCTTGCTTTTAAAAAAAGGTGTAATTTAGTGTTGCAAAGGATTTGATGTTATGAAATTATTCCACAAGTATTTTCTGCAGAGGGCATGAGCATCAGAATACCTCATGGCTACATGCCTGCTCAAGGCCCTCTACTGTGAATCACACAGGCCATAAGCAATCATTTTTACACCAGCGGGTCCTGAAGAAGGGTGCTGGCTTAGTGGATCAAAGGGCCAAGGGAAACATTCTCATCCCAGAAATGTGGGTAAGTATGTTCTTTTTATTGTGGAAGAACTGGCAATGTAATTATCCCCCCCACACCCTCCCCCGCTCCTCACACACACACACACACACACACACACACACACACACACAGTTTAACTTCTAAGAAAAACCCATTTTACTTTTGGCTAAATAGTTCAGAAAGAGGACAGGTGTTGCTTGCAGGTGTGTTTGTTTACTGAATATGGAATTTCATATTCCAGTATTCTCTATATTGACTAAAATCCATTACAGGGCTTCTCTCCATCCACAGAGTCCTACAAGAGCTGAGCCAAACACATGAATTTTTGGCCATTTGAGGCCCTTTGCAGCAACAAGAATCATGGAGCTGGCTGGAAGCTACCATTCTATCATCCTAGCCTGTAATATTCCTGTGAGCAACAGTAAGACATCACGTCATTCCTAAGTGCCTTATAGGGAGAAAGTGGCAGTCTCTGGTTTGCAGTTACTCACAAGAGCAACTGTTGCTGTGGGTAAGTTTGCCTCTCACAAAATATTCCTGTTCATTTTGCCACTGGCAAATGAAGTAATAACAACAAAACAGGAGCAAGTCATCTTTTTGTACACTTTCATCTACTGATATAATACTGCTGTGCCAGCATTTCCCAGTTGGGTGCTCTCCAGAAGTTCTGGACTGCAACTCTGCTACAACATGGCCATTTGTCAGGGATGATGGGGACTGGTGTTCAAAACAGCTGGAAATACCAAGTTACGGAAATCTGCTCTATTCATTTTGCTTCCACTGGCACTCCCTGCATTTTATAATATATTCACATCTGCATGACTTGCTTTTTCTTTGGTTCCTGGGCAATGTCCTATCCAGGTACTGGACAAACTTCAATTGGCTTAACGTCAGGTACAGAAATACATTAAGTAGCAAGTTAAAATAACAGGCTAACTTTAATGTCATGCAGTCCAGCTAAGAGATGTCAGAATAAGAATCAAGAAGATGCTTTTAGCTTACTCATTTATGGTGTAAAACTTGTTAAGAAAAATACTTCCTACTCATATGAAACTTGTAATAAATCTTACTTTTAAAAACCAGGAAAACTTACTTTTAAAAACTTACTTTTAAAAACCATGACATTTCCAGTGATGTGGGAGGCTTAAACTATTGTATATTTTTGTTTCGTTTACTTAAAAAAAAATCTGGAGAAAATGTTAGCTTTAAAACTTGATTTTGAGAAAGCCTTGGGATCTCATTAGGTTATCTAGATTAGAGAAGCAAACACAAAACAACTACAAACAAAACATACCAGCTGTGACTAGGGTAGTGCCCACCATAACTGCCCAGCAAGGGAGCACTTGCTATGTTGCTGGAACCCTAGATGGATTTGAAGAATAAATCCATTTAACAGGAAGGAATTAAAACTACAGATCCAAGCATTCCAAGGAATGAGAAGGCAAACTCAGAGGATTGTATGCTGTGGTCAACATCACAATTTAACTTAAAGCCGAGCCCTTCGCATTACCACTTGCTTTCCTCTTCCCATTGGCAAGGAAAACATGGGGCAGATGTGGTACAGAAGGGAAAACTAGAGGTCATCGAGGTCAAGCCCCAGCTTTCCTCAAAAATTCTTTGAAGATGTTCAGAAGGACCATTCCTATTTCACAATAAGACTGGCAGGTTCTTCCCACTTTCAGTGGAAATGTTTTCCGTGACCAGCCAGTAATACTAACTAGGCCAATGGGTAGAGATCACGGTCGTAAAGCAGCTAGAAAACCTTTCTGTTAGAAAATTATTCTTGGAGGACTGCATCTCATTTTGCATTTTACAGTCTGGAACAGATACCTAGGTATAAAATGCTTGATCAAAATATCCACTGAGAAGGTCATGTGTACATTTAAATCACCAGTGTTCCTCAACAACAGCCACAAAAGTGTTATGTGATAGGCAATAAAGTAGCAATATAAATGCATGTTCACCATTCTCAATTGACATGAGAACTTGAGTATCATACAAGGGTACTGAAGCACAAAATGAAAGGGCAAGAAGCAGTCCTGAGAAATAAGCAACCATCCTTTAGGGACACATTTTGGTTTTATGCGGGGGGACCCAGCATAGAGAGAACAGGCTACCATTTAAATTATAGGAAAGCAGAAAGTAGATCAGGAACTGCTGGTTTCCTGACAGTGAGAATTAAAAAGTTCCATCCAACCAAATTAGGTTGCTGAAAAATCATACTTGGATAACAACTAGGAGTGGATTTTTTGTCGAATGACTTTGAGAACTTGATTGTGGTACTGATTTCAAGTTCCTGTACTGAATATGTGCTCAGATACATCCTCTTCTTTCATCCTTAGCATATGTACACCTACCTACACCACTATTTGCAGCTCGATTCACTTGTTGGGCTTCTAAGTCCAATCAATACACAAAGTAGACCTCGCAAGACCTGAAGTCTACCTACCCTTGCCTTAGAGAGTCCATAAGTATACACTTCATCACATTTTCTTCCAAGGAAACTTTTAATCAAAATTGATAATCCCTCAAGAAAGGAAGACTGAGGGGTGATATGACAGCACTCTACAAGTACCTGAAAGGCTACTACAAAGAGGATACAGGAATAACAGGCTCAATTCTGGCTAGATATCAAGAAAGATTTCCTGACAGAGCAGTACAACAACGGAACCAATTACCTGGGAAGGTTATGGGCTCTGTCGCAATAGAGGCATTCAAGATGCATCTGGACAGACATCTGGGGGGGATTCCTTATCCTGGAGTCCTTAACCACTGAGCTTGGAATTGGCCCTCTCATGATGCCATGATGCCACGATTATCACTCATCACAGAAGCAGTAATCAGAAAACATTTATAATACAATACAGGTGGATCTATTATTTTTATTTGACAAAAGTCGGTGCTCAGTTACTGCTTTAGTCCAACAGCTTATAAAAAGGACAGAAACACCACGCAGCAGAGAAGAATCAGCAAAATGAAACACTGCATTTCTAACATAAGCATAGCATCTAGACTAAGACTGTCACATGAAACCTGGAATTAGCAGAGCAAAAATTAAATACATCAAAAAGAGCACAGATGAATTGTTTGTTGCTGAGATAAAAATGCATCGCAATTTAGAAGGATTTTT